CTGCTTTAGAATGATGCATGTTGTGGTTACAGAGTATCTTCAATATATTTACTTCCTGAATCAGTGTACATTAGAATGCCTGTCCCAGATTTGCTTTTGTTGTCTACCTATATGGATTGATTGCGGCTGCTCCTGTAATATTACATTGTTATTGTATATGTCAATGGAAAGCAAGCAAGAGGCTATAGGAAGGGCAGGGAAAGAGACAAAGGAACCAAGGAGGGAAGGGGGAGGGGGTTGAAAACTAAGGAGGGTGTGGAAGGAAAAGTGGGCAGGGGTGCAGGAAATGGGGGTCACAAGGGGGAGAGCATATATCCCAGCTCAGCAGAAAACACACCCAGAGTTTGTGCTGAGACAGGACTTCTGCTGCGTAGCAGTGTGGGGACGGCAGTGTGCCAAATGCATGAAGACATGGGAGGGGGGCAGAACTTCTTGGGATATTAGGGCGTGTGGAGAAGGAGGGGGATTATTTGTTGTGTAACCTTTTCTTTTCCAAAGAGTCCTCCACATCCTTAATAACACAAACAATTCTAACAGGCTGATGGTCAGACGTGCTGAGAGTGGAGATTTTTAAATGACCACCAATGTCTACAAAGCACATTTCCTGCGCTGTTCTCTGCCTAGAGCTGCTTAGCACAGACGTTTTAGTCTAGGGACCCACTTGCTGATTGTGCCCTTGTGTGACCTTCCATATTTCCTTTTATAGGTCAGTATTATTCAGCGCAAATGGTGCTGAGCAACACTGTTGCTGATATTGCTGCGTGGGAGAGGGATCCTGATAATGTCACGTGGTATGTTAAAGGAACAGTATAGTCATTTCTATTAAAAAAAAAATATATATATATATACATACATACACACACACTAATAAAAAAAAGATTCCTTCTGTTTACTGGCAGCAAGTAAGCCTGTCTTTTAAGGTCATATGCCATTGGCATATAATTTACCCATCAAGTTCAACATTACAAACAGTCTGCATGTCACAGTCTGCACACACACACAAAGATCCTCCCATTGACACACATATAGTTGGAGAAACATGGATACATACACACAAGTCATAATTTACATATGTTTAGTGACACTGCCATTCCCATGCCTTCAGGGTGCAGGAGGGTGGCTTCCCTGGGATCTAGTGGGATCTTGCGGCAGGAGGTCCTAGCTGAGATTCATGGTAGTCTGTGGCTGACTCTTCAGACTCTTTTTACCCTCCTTTGATTGCCTCCTCTTCTTTTCCGCTCCTTGTGCGGCACTCTGAAAGCTGGATGAAAGTGACCTTTACTCAGTGTCTCTTAGTACCACAGTTGAATTGTTGTAAAAGGGCAACAACACCCAGCTTGATCAGACACACATATCTAGTGTATGGTCTTGATCATCCCCAGCTTATGGGCCTGGATGCACTATCGGCACAGGGCCCCCATGCCACGTGGAATACTCAGGGTCTGGTCGCACTTGTGACTCAGGATGTTCTTCCACTGGGCTGAAGCAAGGGATCTTTCCTGTCTCCTCTCCAACAACCTCTACTACAGTGATTGATGACCTCAGAGTATGATGTCATACTCTAGGTGTAAGTAATAAAAAGGAGCTTCCAGCCTTAGCAAGGATATGAGGTGGAATCTCAGATCTCATACTCTTCATTAGCAGCAACTGTTTACTACATTCTACCCCCTTACCCATGGAAGATGGTTGTTGGAACCTTGACATCAGAGAAGCCTTAAAGGAACACTTCAAGTACTATAACTACCTCAGCTGTCCTGAGCTAATCCCTGCCGCGCAGGGCCAGCTTGTCAGTTGAGAGCATCAGCTGATCACACTCAGCCAATGAGATACACCCTGCACCACCAAGATTAGCTCAGTCCAGCTCTGGCATATAAGGTGACTGATGCCTGGTGGACCCAAGGTAAGTTGTCAAACCATTTGACAACAATTTGAGTACTTACTTTGAAGTAGTTTTGGTGCTCAGAGTGTGTTTTTCCTGAAAAGTATGTAATAAACATGTATAAATTTATTATAAACTTGGTCAGATTACATTATTGGTCATGTCTCTCAGCTATGGGAGTTTAATCACCCCCCTCTCTTTTAACAACCCATCTCAGTTTCAGACCAACGCACTTATGACGGAAACAGGGCATCATTATGCAGCAGCAGGAAAGAGAAACACAACAACAGGGTCTGTTCTGTAGTTCCTATGCAGAGTCACACTGATCAGCCCCCCATTCTCTCTCTGTCAGGATGTTGCAAGGTTAAGAGATCTTTCAATTGCACGTGTGTAAATCTGTCAGGCATGCCCAATGCATATTTCCTGCATTCCTAGGGACAGGGCGCTGATTGGGCAGATCAGTGACCCTCTGCGGTGGGTGTGGAAAGCATATAAAAAGAAGAAAAAGATAAATAATTTAAAAAAAACATTTTACCTGCTTTTTTCAGCCTGCATAGTGAAGCAACTGCCTCGTTTGCATTTGTCTTAAAGTTATGAATGTCCCTTCGAAAACGTGTTTTCTTTGCTTGTTGTACCTGGATTTGCAGAATTTCCCTCAATATTAAATTGCATTCTTCCACACTTCAATGTATTGAATGCAATCTACCTCTACAACTCAGTTAAAATGACTACTTTAATTTAAATTAACTATGGCATTTTACTCAGTGGTTAAAATCCCTCTAATTCCCTGGTCATGTTACTTCTGGGTCATTTGTATTCTAAAAACACTGTATTCCTAAAGGATATGAGACTGCTTGGGCATTGTGGGTGGAGAGAAGGTCAGTTCAAAGGTGGAGGCATGTGTAAGAATTATTTGTATTGAAGCTGAGTCAGTCTTTGGGTGTTGTGTAAATGGCTAGAGCTGTAACTTAGTGAGGAAATGGATGGTATTAACACTCTCTATGTAGGAAAAGGCTGGCATAGTCACAGTAGGAGAGTCTAAAGAAAGTACAGAGCTGTATTGGCAAGTGACACTCCACGACAGTTATGCCAGGGACCAAGGTTCACAATTTGTACTCACCAATTGGTGAGTGAAAATATAGCCCTGGTAAGCGTGCCATGCTCTCTCCAGGCTTGCAGTGGAGAGTAACTTTTTAGGCCTGGTTAGTAGCAAATGACTTGAAATTGTAAGTCGTGGTTATAAATAACTTTAGTATTGAGGATATTTGTGAATCATATGTTCCTCTATGATGGCTGTGCATCATGAGAAATGTATTACACACTCATTACTGATGTCAAGGTTAAACATTACTGCTTTACACCTTTTATTCGTGAAAGGGTTTAAGGTAGGATTACAAGAAATCTCAACTGAACTCAGTATTTACCCCACATCAGACTCTGGCCCCAATATTTTCTCAAAAGCAGCTAAAAGTAGTTTTAGAAAAAATCGATTAAGGGGAGAATAATATAAAAGTTACATATCTTTGGACATCTCTGTCACATCTGAAATGACTGAATTGTAATTGTGCATACAAGTTTGAAAACAAAAAGGGAAAATATACTGAGTATGCCATTGCTATATAAATACAAGTGGTTTTTACAAGGCTGGTGGGTGGTAGTGCTTTTTTTTTAATGCAGTACTTACCAGCACCATAACTTCTGACATTTCTAATAAGTAAACAAGGATACTTTGTTTTATAGTGTGTAGTTATGGGAAGGTATTTCCAATAAAGCTTAAGAGAGTTCATGATTTATGGAAAGCTACGAAAATGGGTACGTCATTTAGAACAAGTACAATGTAATTTCCCGTGATTTTTTAAATACTTTTAAATGCTGCAAATAATATGGCACATATGATGTGGCTTAATATTCAATGTACATGTGCTTTCAAGCTGAAATGTGTGATGCTGGCCAGCTATGTTTATGCACATTGTAATTTAGATGGGCACTCCCATCACCATAACCACTACAGCTTGCTGACACCCTGGTTTCAAAATGGGTGCTTTTTAATTCTTTTTTAAAAAAAATTCACAATAAACTCAATAAATATACATTTGTATTACTAACAAAATTAGCTGTATATACAGTGGTGTATCCTGGTTTTGTGCTGCCCTAGGCCAGTGCCACCCGCCTGGATTTTTAGTTTGCCGCCCGCCCGGATTGTCATTTAGAATTGTTTGCTTCGCGGCTAATGCGTCCCTGTGTATATATCACTTTTACACCTCTAATTTGAATGTCAACCTAATCTGTTGTTTTTTGCATATGTACTTAAAACAGCTCTGCATAATTTGCAAAGACCCCCAACTGTGACTGCCCTACTTGCAGTGCGCTGGCCAAGGAGCACAAGGAAAGGTGAGTTATACCTACCTAAACCTCATGGCCGCCACCATCTACTTCCTGTCAGTCCTCTTAAGCTTCTGGCCCGTCAGCTGCCAGAAGCCAACGTTAGCGTTGTGTGCACATGCAAGAGTATAAACCACATGGGTTTATGGTGTGTCCTGCAAGATCCTCCATATGCAGAGCCCTTTAACAACAGCCATCACTGGTGGCGGCTGAGTGCTTGACATAAGGAAGCTCCGCCTTTTGTCAATTTTTGTCAGGCGTAGGAAAAATACTGAGACAAACTTTGTCATAGTATATCTTATGGCTGAAATTCCAACACAGTCAATGTAAGTATTTCATAACGATTTTATCGGCATGATTGTATGATTTTATCTGTATACTCATTTTGGTTGTGGTGGTCACACTAGAATAATAAATCATATAGAAACAGGGCCCAGGGTGCCCAAAAAGTAGATGCCCAGATGTTGTAGAACTACAACTCCCATAATGCTTTGCGTGCCTTTCGGATGACAAAGCATCATGGAAGCTGTAGTTTTAAAACCTCTGGGGATCTACCTTTTGGGCAACCCTGGAAAAGAATAATTCTTGATGTATCATAATCATTTTCTGATTATAATTAGACTAAGGTAAAATAAATGTTATTTTGCTTCTCCCCAGCTCCTGTGAATTAAGGCTGGCATGATGGCTGCTGGGCACAATGTGAGTGGTAGTTCAATAACTGGAGTATTCTAAAAACTGTCTTTGATGCCTCTGGGCGCCTATTATATATGAGCCAGTGAACTTTCTTCCCACAAAAAAAGGAGGCTCCAAAGCAGAGCTGATGTTTTCCATTTGCCAATACCTCCCCTGTCCAACGACCACGTCTGCAGTGAGAGGGAGGGATACAGAGAGGGGAGCATCAGGGCCAGTGAGAGGGGTGAGAGCAAGAGGAAAGAGCTGAAAGAAACCTAGAAAAGCAATGAGAGAAGAGACATACACATGAAAGAAATAAAGCACTGAGGGACTGCACTCAAGGTTTTTGCAGAAGACGGAAACAAGGAGAGACGGCACCCCAGATCAGGACAAGGAGACAGCTTTGCTGAGTTTACTTTTATAAGTAACCCAACAGCAGAGCAGGGAGAGCAGACACCCAGCATGGAGCCCCTGAGAGCAGTCTGCATGTGTCTCTTACTGTGCTTTGTATGCAGTAAAAACACTAAATTCAGTCCAGAGGTTAGTACTCAGCCTTTCTTGTATCTATCTATCTATATATCATCTAATTTTAATGCAGAGTGCCCTGCCCTGCAGTGTTTAGGAATATTTAATCAGACACACATACATTTACTTTATTTTTTATTTTTATTTCCCTTTTGTTGTTTCTTTAATTCCCTCAATTTCCTTACCACTACTTTTTTTTCATGGAGAAGACATTCTGGGCTCCCCCTAGAATCTGAGGTCACACATGAATCCAGTTAAAATTTGGACATGAACAGTTTGGATAGGATTCAATGCTCACAGAGAGACAGGGAAGGTTTTGGAGAGGGAGGGAGAGCCCAACACTGAGAAAGAGAGGGTTATTATACTGCTAAAACACAGGCCAGGGGGAACCAGCGAAAATGTGGTTACACATGGAAATGCAGGGGTGGTGGTGGTGGGGATAAGTAATGTTGGGGAGACAGAACAATGTAGACATCAATGTCACAGTTATTTACTCAAGTGCGAATTGCATGAATTTAAAGTTTTTGTGTGGTCAAAATAGCCAAATTGGAAAAAGATGGAATTTTCTATTTTATTTGACCATATTTCACTTTGAATTTCTGAATATTGACACTTTAGAAGATGACTCTGTTAGAACAGATGTACACACATTATCATTATGAAGCAATAGGAATATTATAGAGACCAGACATACATGGAGGAGCGTCTGATTAGAAGAAAGGAGAGGAGAAAAGATGAAAAGCAGACAGGGCATGCGAGGGAAGGAGAGAAAGAAAAGTACAGGGCTCCATGTATGATGTAGAAGAGGCTTTTAGCCAAATGAATAATTACTTGTGGGACTGCCGAATCAATATAAATAGTGAAAAGGGACATTGCATGAATGAGGAGAGCCATTGAGAGGGGAGAGAGGCCACTCGGAGGATCTTCCTTCTAGAACAGAAACCTATTATTTAGTCTCTGTGCCCTGGAGAGATGGCTAGCTAGCTGCACGATTAGCCATAGTTTTTGCATTTTTTATATGTGGTGGATTGTTCAGCAGAGATAGACAACTATTCACAAAGATGTAGACTAGTGCTCCAATCACATCAGCCAAACTTAGTTTTTAGCCAAAGAACTCACATATATAGATTTTCTACACTGTCTTGAAGTATGCTTTATTCTCCTAGTACTATACATATAAGAATAAAATATGTTATCTCCCCTCTTCTAATATATTGTAAAGCGCTATGGAATATGTTGACGCTATAGAAATACACATAATAATAATAATAACAACAGCAGTTTTGTCAATATTTTCACTTAAGAAAATGTGGTCTAAATGTATATGAAGTGAGGAACCAAACTATAACTTTGCCTATTTATTGTGACGTACTGTAATAATCCCTTTAACATTTGAACCTCTGCAGAATGTTCTTTGCCATATATTTAGCCATACTTTTATAGCTAATCGTAATTGTTTTTGAATCCTGCCCCCAAGCATCCTCTTGCAGTCCCAAGTTTTGTGTATTTCCCAGTTTAACCCAGATGAGCTTTTAGATAAAACCCAGACCTTTGCATTTTATGAATTGCTGTTTTGGAATATGGTTTTTAAGACCAGTAATCCTCAATAATTTCCAGTCAGCAGCAACAGTTATTCCCTCAGGATTTCTCCCAGTCTGTTGGACTGGCTGGTGACTGCTAACTCAGTTTCAACCTCAATCCCTCAGTCATTCCTCAGTGTGTAGAGACTGCAATCCCTCAGTCATTCCTCAGTGTGTAGAGACTGCAATCCCTCAGTCATTCCTCAGTGTGTAGAGACTGCAATCCCTCAGTCATTCCTCAGTGTGTAGAGACTGCAATCCCTCAGTCATTCTGCAGTGTGAAGAGACTGCAATCGCTCAGTCACTTCGCAGTGTGTAGAGACTGCAATCCCTCAGTCATTCTGCAGTGTGTAGAGACTGCAATCCCTCAGTCACTTCGCAGTGTGTAGAGACTGCAATCCCTCAGTCACTTCGCAGTGTGTAGAGATTACAATCTCTCAGTCATTCTGCAGTGTGTAGAGACTGCGATCCCTCTGTCATTCTGCAGTGTTTAGAGACTGCGATCCCTCAGTCATTCTGCAGTGTGTAGAGACTGCAATCCCTCAGTCACTGCGCAGTATGTAGAGACTGCAATCCTTCAGTCACTTTAAAGTGTGTAGAGATTACAATCTCTCAATCTTTCTGCAGTGTGTAGAGACTGCAATCCCTCAGTCACTTTGCAGTGTGTAGAGACTGCAATTCCTCAGTCATTCCGCAGTGTGTAGAGACTGCAATTCCTTAGTCATTCTGCAGTGTGTAGAAACTGCAATCTCAGTCAGCTTGCACTGTGTAGAGACTGCAGTCTCTCTGTAATTTTGTAGTGTGTAGAGACTGCAATATCTCTCGCAGCCATTCTGCTTTATGTAGAATTTATAGTCCCTGAGACAGGGGTTGGCAATGTTTGGCACTTCGGGTGTTGTGGACTACATCTCCCCTGATGCTTTGCAAGCATTATGGTTGTAACAGCTTCATGGATGATATAGTCCACAACATCTGGAGTGTTGAAGGTTGCCTACCCCTGCCCTAAAGCATTCTCCAGGAAGTAGGATCTGTAATATCTCTGTGTCTCCTTTGTCTTATTTCAAGAGATATCCTGCTTTTTATAAATGACCTAAGTTGCACCCTTGAATGACAGCCGGGAGGGTTCTCTTCCTTACTCACTTTGAGAATTTGTTCTATTCTATGAGAAATTATTGTGCCTGTGCCATAGGATACACAAAGAGTTAGGGGGAGGACAGCACTTTTCTCACGCTCGATTAGCTAATTCATCTGAGAATGACAGGAGCTGCATTTTACCTAGCCATGTTACATTATCACAACTACCTGACCAAGTCGTCCAGTTTGGAATTTTAGTTATGAATTAAATGAAAACTGTGCTTTTAACATGGGTGGGGGGAGGGGGAGTTGTGATTTATTTGTAGAATATTACATACAATGGACAATGCTGTGCATTGCATTTGATGTCCTCAGACGCCTACAACTTACATTTTTGCTTTTCATAGATCTCTCTAGTTGTTGACTCCTTCCAGCTGGATTCTACACAATAGGATGGGGGAGGAGGGAGGTTATAGCATTTTTACTGCCTGCTACACTTAACAAATACCTGTGGATGATTTACTGTAAAAGCAGGGCCTGCAGCTAGAATAATCTGCTACACTTGAGTTTATACTCATCAATTAAGCAATGTTTGCTAGGAAGTCTACTTTGTAAAAAGTAAAGCAATGTTTTCTATTGCTGGCCCCTCCTTATTGTTTCAGACATACTGTCTGTTTGAAGGAATACTACTGTGATTTTTTTTGTTACACTAAAAATATATATACATATATTAAATTACTATAAATAGTTTTTAGAGCATTATAAATGATACTTTTCTTGAAACTGTAAGTTACCTTGTATATGTCATTTGCCTTTAAATTTGCCTTGTGCTTAACCTGTTCATGGCAGATGATTTGGCAACAATTACAATAAAAACACAGCTTATAGTATGTAGCATTCGTGTGAGATACAAGTAAGCACAATCTCAGGGTTATTCACTAAACAGGACATTTTGGCGAGAACTGACAAAGGAATTGTACATTTTAGGCCAAGATAGCCAATCAAGAAAAAGTTTGTTGGAGATATCTTACAGGTTGGCTACTTTGGCCTAAATCTTTCATTTCCTTTGTTAGAGCTCCATCAGTTCTCTGTTTAGTAAATAACACTGAGTGAATTAATCACAGCAGGGATTCCAAAGAACAACATCTGATAAAATTATTGTTTTTATTCATATATCATATGAATCCTACATACTGCTGGAAATGGTTTTGTCCCACAAAACCATGGGGGACTGGCAACCCTAGCTATAAACATTGTTTAATCAGCAACATCTCTTTCATGTGAGTAGCTCCCCCCAAGATCTACGGACATCTGTTTAAATCCTCTGTGCCACAGAAGCCAAAAAGACATTATTTTTTTTAATATGTATGTAGAGAGAGAGAGAGAGAGAGAGAGAAAGAGCAAAGCTAAGCACAAGCAAGCCATATGTATAGAAAATAAGACGTTCAACTTTAGAAAGTGATTTGTAGTCTTTAGTATTCATGCACAACACACAGGGTATTTTATCAGTCAAGTTTTATGAACGTAATAGAGTTTCTGCAGCAATAAATAGTATTAGCTAACAAAAGCTGATACACTGGATTAATTTTTCTGATGTTTTGGGAAACATTTTCATTGTTCACAGGGATACCTGTAGAGATTCCATCTCTAAAGCCAGTGTTCTACTTCCACACATCCTATCCTGGCATAATACTACATTTTCTATATAATCGCAGTAGATGGGGTGTTTGTAGATGCCTTCCGCTCTATGCACAATGCTAATTTTTGTTGTAGTACACAGCACATTATCGTGAAATTAAAGGACCACTATAGGCACCCAGACCACTTCAGCTTAATGAAGTGGTCTGGGTGCCAGGTCCATCTAGGTTTAACCCTTTTTGCTGTAAACATAGCAGTTTCAGAGAAACTACTATGTTTACTTTAGGGTTAATCCAGTCTCTAGTGGCTGTCTCATTGACAGCCGCTAGAGGCGCTTCTCACTGTGATTTTCACAGTGAGAAGATGCCAGTGTCCATAGGAAAGCATTGAGAATGCTTTCCTATGGACTGGCTGAATGCGCGCACGGCTCTTGCCGCACATGCGCATTCAGCCGATGATGGAGAAAAGGAGGAGGAGAGTTCCCTGCGCCGAGGGAGCCCGGCGGGAGAAAACAGGTAAGATTTAACCCCTTCCACCCCCTAGAGCCTGGCGTTAGGGTGACCCAGTGGATGGGGGGGACCTAGAGACCCTATAGTGCCAGGAAAACAAGTATGTTTTCCTGGCACTATAGTGGTCCTTTTAGTGACTGTAATTTTGGGGGATTCTCTTTTTAAACCATAGCACAGGAAGGCATTCATTTCAAGGAATAACTCTATATACTAAGATTAAAGGAACACTCCATACACCTTAAAGGGGCTCTGTCAGGAACAAAAACGTGTATTCCTGACACAATAGTTCTAAAACCACCGTTATCTTGGGTTAGAAAGGGGATGTACTCACCTTTTCCTAGCGCCACGCGTCTGGCTCGCGCTCCAGATCTGCCTCTTTCTGAGGAGTGGCCACTGGAAGTGTTCCAAGGCAGTAATGTAAACACTGCATTTTCTCTGAAAGGCAGTGTTTATATTAAAACGCATGCCGGGACATACTATATTTACCAGACCAACTACATTACATTTTCTGGTGACTATAATGTCCCTTTAATCTCTTAAATCCGTTGTTATAGTTATGTTGCAGTAAGAAGTCAAACTGTTTTTAGTACAAATAGACAAGTTTCCTAGGTCCTGTTGGGTGTCGACCATGAATAAGCTGCATCTGATCTTCTATAGCAGGAGAAACCAGATTGCTCTATAGAACAACACAGGATTTTGCAGGACTGCACCCATTATTTGAGAGCACCAGCTGAGGCAGAGTGTAGGACTATATCAGTTATACTTTAAAGATACTATGGCAAGATGTGGTATAGGTAGGTGCCCATGATAAAACATCTTGACATCTTAAAATAGGATGGCGCCAGGGCACTTTTGACACCATAACCACTACAGTGGACTGTAGTCATTATGGTGGTTTGAGTATTCTTTTAAGGAAGTCAGAGACAAGCGATAAAGCTTTTTTTGGACATTGGTCTCCTTTTCTTTCACACTGACCCAATTCAATACAAGAATCTCTACACTTTCCAGCTTGCCAATTCAAAAAGTTAGTATCCGATACCTGTGGATGCAGCCAGTTTAAATTTCCATATGTTTGTAGATGATGAATGATCATCCACCTATATTTTAATGTTCATTGATATACTTGTGAGACCGCTAACTTTATATTATACAATATAACTGCATTCTTTGATATATTCTGTTGTCTTGAAAAAAATATATATATTAAGGAAGTGACATTTATTTTTTATCATATGTTTCCTATAAGAGAATGAAGAATTTGGTGTTTCCATTACACACTTTACCTGGCTCCTGTGGTCTGCCTAGCCCTAAGTCAATGTTTGCCAGCGTCTCTGATAAGAAATTGGTTCAGAGATATCAGGTTATAGAGCATAATTTATTCCCAATGTAGGTATCTGCTCAGAAATTAGTTAAATTGTAATCTTTAAATATTTCTCCTGTTACAAAAAAAATCTGTTCTAAGAAAGTAAATTAGCACTGTATCGCTTTTGTATGTCTTAATTCTGATAATACGTGAATTGGGCAGTAGTGCCAACTGAATGTGTCTTGGATGCAAGAAGACTTTCAACTAAGTGTTTAAATGGCAAAAAAAAAAAAAAAAACATTTTCCCAACACTTTTTGTGGGATACACTAAGGATCCCACAAGAGGGACACTTGCGAAATATTAGAAGACAAATGTAAAAATAGGGTTTCACAGAAAATGTTAAATACTTTATATGATAAGTACGTTTTAATTAGAAGTCTGCCTGCCACCAGCTAAACGTGTCCATGGTGAACCCTGTCGGTGGAATTTCCACATCATACTTTCCAGGCCAAATCTAACACCTCATTCACAAGTACACCTCATAAAACAAATTGGTAATAAACAATGACATTTGGAACAAAATTCTTCTATAAATTCAAATCAACCTGTTGGTTATTTTCACATTCCTCTGCAGGCATTGTGAGGACACATAAGGGTTTTTAAGAGTATGTGATGCCACCTACTAGCTGCCTCATCATAAATGTGTAAATGATGTTTCTAGAAATTTGACCTATACTTTAAATTTTGTAAGTGACTTAAACAACTGCCAATTTGGAGGGAGGAGTAAAACTGAAGTTAGGACAGGATTGTGTATTCAATTCCCCTATCCCTCTGGTGTACAAATATAGGTAAAATCCTATGGAAAGTCCTTATCCATTTCTTTTAAAGAGATTAATTTGAACATTGTGTGTGAACAGGTATATAATGTTCATACCAGTAAAATGTACTTCCTGCCTTGTTTCCTCAGATATTATTATGTGTGCCCCGTGGCATATTTCTGGGTCAAGGGTACAAAAAGACCTATTTAATTTCAGAATTCAGATTATGTTTATATCATTGGGGCATTTGATTGTTAAAAAGATTTTAATTGAGTATAAATATTTTATTCATTATTATTAAAATATCACGTTGCCCTGTTAATTAAAGGACCGCTAAAGTCACCCAGACCACTACATCTCATTGAAGTGACCTAGCTGCAATGGTCATGTATATTTAACCCTTCAAGGTAAAACATTGTCATTTTGCACACAGGGCAATGTTTACTGACAGCCACTAGAGGCGCTTTCACTGCCAAGACCAAGAGATAAAACTCAGTCACATGATGCTGCAGCTCATAGGACAGTATTGTGCCTGGGACATTTTGTAATTCACAAAATATGTGGTTGATACAGCCTGTAAATGTAGGTATAAGAATAATCTATACCACTGTATAGATCATGATGTTATACCCACCTGAAGATGGCAAACTGATATGCTGGGGGAAGAGAGATGTCACAGAGAGGCTGGAGGCACAGAGATGCCACAGAGAGACTGGTGGCAGAAAAATGGCACTGATAGGGTGGTGGCAGAACAATGACACAGAGCTGCCGGGGGCAGAGAAATGGAACAGAGATGCCGGGGCTGAAAGATGGCACAGAAAGGCTGGTGGCAGAGTACCTCCTCTCTTGGGCTATCACAGTTACATGAAGCTGCCAATACCTTCAATCTTATTTTCATAATGCATGCACAGTCTCTAATCTCTACAACACTCCATTTCCTCTCTCAGATCACCACATCTTATCATTTGTTCTTGAGAGCCCCCTCACTGAACATCCTCAGCCTAACCCTGCTAAACTCAGAAGGAACCTGAATTCTATTGACCTCAAACAACTCTCAGCTGATGTCCGTTTTAAACTCTCATCCATCCCTACCTTCTCCTGTCTCTCTCTGGCTATCTGCTCAAATAATGCTACCCTCTTCTCTGCTCTGGACACTGCAGGCCTGCTCCAAACATGCACGTCAAGGAAGACGCACCTCCAACTAAGTCGACGCGCTACCTGCAGAGATGCTCCTGTTCAGCTAAACGCTGCTGTCAGACTTTCTTAATTATAAATAAATTTTACGTTCATGCAGAGCAGCCCTCACCCTTCCTAAACAATCATCTTTTCTCCTCTCATTAGTTCATGCTCCCACAATAACAGGCATCTCTTTGATACATTCAACTCTCTCCTTCACCCCGCTGAAGCCACCCCCAAACATATCTTTCAGCTGATAGCTTTGCGTGCTACTTTTCCAACATGATTAAACAGTTAAGGAAAGAGTCTCCCCCCCCTTTTGCTTCTCTCTGTCTCTCAACCGCACCTGTACCGTACCTTCCCTACCCTTCAGGCCATCTCACCAGCTACTGAACAGGAGGTGGCTGCGCTTCTCCTCTCATCCCACCACTTGTCCACTTGATCCTGTCCCTTCTCACCTTATCAGATCTCTTTTCCATTGTCTTGTACCATCCTAAACGCACCTCATTAACTGCTCTCTTTCGTCTGGTGATGTCCCTGCTCCCCTTAAACATGCTTCTGTCGTACCCATCCTAAAAAAGCCATCTCAAGACCCATCTTCCCCTTTCCACTATCGTCCCATATCCCTGCTCACTTTTCCTCAAAGCTTCTAGAAAGACTTGTCTTTACTTGATTGGCTTGCTTCCTCAATTCCAACTCTCTCCTCAACCCTCTTCAATCTGTCTTCCACTCCCTCCACTCTATTGAGACTGCTCTGACTAAAGCTACAAATGACCTTATCACAGCTAAATCCAAAGGCCACTACTCCATACTAATTCTTCATGTCCTCCTTCTCCAAACTCTTCAATTTGACACTGACCCTCATGGTACTCCTATCTCTCCCAACATTCATTCAGTGTCTATACTACTATAATAGTAAGCATTACCTATAAAGTTCTAAACAACTCTAGTCCCTGTTACATTTCGCAACTGATTCCTAGGTATGTCCCTTCTCAGCCTCTCTGCTCTGCCAGTGACCTTCTCCTGTCAGCTGCTCCTACACTTACGGCTAACTCGCGCTTGCAGGACTTCTCAAGGGCACTTTTTTACCTTTGGAACAGCCTACCCCATCAGACTTTCCCCTCGTCTTCAATCATTTAGAAATGCTTATTGCCTCCCACAGTAACTTCTATGTCTGTGAAAACACTCCACACTCACCTCCAGTTCTGCTACTTTGCCTCATTGTTTTGTTGCTTGCCCCCCTGATGCCCTTGCTGTTGTGTTTTTATATTCCACTCCTCTGACTGTAAGCTTGATTGAGCAGGGTCCTTATCTACCTATTGTTCCTGTATACTTTTGTATTTGTCTAATTTATTGTTATATTCCCCCCTTTCATAATATGGCGCTATATAAATACCAATAATAATAATAATAATAATGCATTAATATCATTCCCTTGCTGGACAATCCTTCAGAACTCCTAAAACTGGTTGGGAGTTCTCCATTATTGGTTAGTGATGTCCAAGTGTCAAGTGGGCTGATCTCCCAAGTGCATAGCACTTTAATTGTTTCTATTCTGTTATCTTGTATGTTTATCAATATCTATTCTGTGTAGTTGTGTCTATCGCTGGTTTTAATGGATAGGTTAGTAAAATTGCACTATGGGCCACTGAATTGTTTCTGCCCCTCTAGGCAACAATTTGCCAACCCTCCTTTAACAGGATCATTGGATTGCACAACTGCTTATATTTAATTATTCTGTTGACGTTCAGCTCTCTAGTAATAGTAGCAGAATTTACAAAAAAAAAGCCAAAACCCTGTATTTCAGTTTCAGTCTGCACTGTGTTCTGTTCAGACAGGTCTGTGCATGCACATGGTTCATTATGTAGAAACAGGGTGGGGGTTTTTAGAAGGAGGACTGTAGTTAAAACAGGCTCAGGTAGACATACCATCCCTCTTCTTTTACTTTGATCAGATCTGTACAATAGTGATAGGGGTCTGTGCTTTATATGTAACTGGATGTGCACAGTGTAAGGAAAAAATAATAATACAATTCTTACTCACAGAAATACAGTACTAGAATTGAAACACATGTGTAGATAGTTTACAGTGTATATAGGTAAGAGGAGGAACGTTCAATAAGAAAGTAGCTTGTGCTGCAATTAGCAATGTGATACTAATGGTATATGCTTCAAGCTCAGCTAAATTCACTACACATATCCTTTGTTGCAGAGGTTTCCAGCTCGATCCATGAGGACTGTAAATCTTGCTTTAAGATTCTGACTTTTAAGGCAACAATTAGCTTTGTGCGTCTTTGAGCAGTGTGTCATCATGAAGAACTGTTGTGTTTGCAGTTTTTGAGGGATTTTATAGTGATCGTAGTGGGACTCAACACTCTACGCAGGAGGGATGAGATTCAGTCATATTCTTGGCTGAAGGGTATTAAGGGAGATTATAAAAATAATGCAGTTCTGACCACAGGATGGATTCATTGTTGTCTAACCTTTTCAGGGGGAAGGAAATAGATGTACAGTTATCTGACGTGCAGATGTATAGATGAAGTAATGAATATTGTTTGTAGGCCGCGCCTTATTAAAACAATAAAGGCAATATATGAGAATCACCCATGTAATCCATTTCCGGCTAGGAAACACATGAAAGTCTTTGTTGGCTACAATTAGCCAGCAGGCTTTCTGCTAGCCGACATCCTGTGTTCAGTGTCACTTATCAGGAGAGCCCTGCTTGCACCACTTTGTGATAAAAGATTTGTTTACTATGAACATGTAGGGAAGCTATGTATAGTGTGTGCTAATATGCAAATTAATAAATAGAAATTATTATAAGATATTTTGTTGCCAGCTGTATGTTTTTGGAGAAAAGATGTCAGTGAATTGTGGGCTGGTTACTGTGGTGTAATGCATTATTTATGTATGTTAATATATTTGTGTAGCTAACTCTATGAAAGAATTTGTCGAGCATTATGTATAGACACTTTCCAACTGTCTACTAAATCATTCTATATCAACCACTCTTAATGGTACACTCTCTCGAGGAATGAAATGAAATACTGCAGGAGAGCATTAAAGTCCTTACTTCCATGAATGCATGAAAGGGTCCACGTTTGATTTGTATGTTATTGAATGTTAGTCTCTGTTTGTGTGCTTTGTATTCTTTTAAAAGCTGTAGGTTGCGTAAGCAATCATGTGAGACTGATTAAATCACAGACGTCCTCTAGTTATCATCCCCCTTCCTTTATTGTCTTTTTCAGTTTCTCTCATGTGTTTTTCCTGTAATGTAAAACCTTTTTCCCTGTAGACCTCTCCTCCACTTACACACACTTTGAAGTTGTGCCCATTATTTGCAATCCCTAGGGAGACAAAAACATCACTCTGTGACCACCCCCCACACAAATACTCATTCCATCATGGAAACATGGTATTTTACGGTTAACCCATTCCCTACCTGAGATAGTCGGCATATTAATATACATTGGACTGGCATTATGTGATTTTTTAATTTTTTTTGGCTGTTTGCTCTCCAAGTAAAACAAATGGAGGTTATTTAGTTACTCCAGTGGCCATTGGAGGGAATGCCTGTCTGCCAACGTCAAGGCAGACCCCCTGGATGACCCACCTAAGGAGGTCTGTCTTTACGTTTGCAGGTGGGCATTCCCTCCAATGGCCATTGGAGTAACTAAATGACCTCCATATGTTTAAATATACATAGGGATTTAGGAGAGAACGCAGGGAACTTTGGTTTTTACTGTATGTATTGGGGCTGATGTGTACTGTGGTCGTTGCTGCCGCCCAGGAGTGATGGGAGTGAGCGCAGGACTTGTTTTTTTTTTTTACTAATTTGAATATGTTGATATTTTCCTAGCTGAATCTTTGTTGCTTTTTACAGTTTAGGAAATGGTTAAATGGTTTTAGGGAATGGTTAAAAGCTCTCTCTGAAATATGGTGAATGGATCAATCAAATTGTCTCCAGTAGGAGCCACATGCATTTGCTTTGTGCTGAAACTGGGGGGAGGAGGGGTCAGAAAACATGGGGCGTAGACCTAAAACGGACATGTCATCCACATATATGAATGAATGACAAGATCTGCTAAAGTAGGTATACACATTTAATTTTAAGGAATATTAATTCTACCACTTTCAGAATGACTGCTGCACTCTATCTAAAGTGATGTGTTTAGCCTGCAGTTTTTTTGTGTCTTTAATACACCTAAGATACTTAGTCTTATTTTATGTTGTACTTTTCTTTTGTGAAGATGTGTTATCACTAGACTTTTAAATAGTGCCTGTGTAGTTGCTGCTGTCTTGCAAATGAAATTAAATGAAACTTCAGTAATCCTAACTTTAGTTCTTCCTGTTAAACAGTTAGACATTTATTTATTTTACTATATCTGCTAAGGTAGGTATTCTTTCTTACAGGACCCTGACATGTTGGTTTTTATACTGCCCCATATGATTCAACATTGCTGAAATTAAACAACTTTATTGGATTGGAAAATGTCACTCCATATGCTGTGTTTTAAAATACACAGAAATAAGTATTTCTTCAAAAAATTTGCTTACCTTTCAAATGTTATTGTCTACTGGTTCTTTTGAAATCATATAAAACATTAGCACGTGCTTACATTGTGTAATAGAGATTGTGACACATTAGTATCTCTAATCTTTCATCATGTTTCTTCTTTAGCATTTCCCAGTTTTAGGGATCAAGGTAGTTTCATTATTATTATTTATATAGCGCCAGCATATTCTATAGAAACTGCAGGGGCAAGATGTGACAAAGAGGAAGATCTAACCCTGTAATGTAAATATTGCAGTTTCCTTAAAAAAAAATGCAGTGTTTTACATTGCAGGGTTCTAAGGACAGGACTTTAGTGGTCCTTTAATATGTGACGTAACAGCATTTTATTCTAGGAGAAATCTGATACAAGAAGTCATTTTCCCCATTCTGATGGACCTAAGTCTTTTCTTCTTCTTTTTTTTTTTTTTTACAACATTGCAGACTTGTACCTGCCATTATATAATTAAGTTATTACATATGTAGTATAAGCATTGGTATTCAGTCATCATTGATGTTTTCTCCCTTTCTTCTTCCCAATGGATTCCCAATCCCCTTATTGAGCTTCCCAACCAGTGATTTGGGTTAGCTTCTTTCCTAACTAAAGTTCATCGATAGGGAAAGACAAAGGAAGCAAGAGGGAGAAAACGATGAGTCTTTTTTTCAACCAGGATTACTATGTTACTAAAATCTTGCTAGTACCATGTACTGTTTAGAAATATAAAAAAGGACTCAGATTTTGCATGTTTTGAATTACACAATCCTTATAATTGTTACATTTATAAAAGTGCTGCATGTAAAAAAAAAAAAAACAATCGACTGTAATAAAAACAGCATTATGTACACTTTTGATGTCACTTGCAGGACTCTTTGGCATAAGCACTTCATTAAAATAACATGCAGGTGTGTGCATGTGCAGCAGCCCACATTCTTTTCTGTCAGCCATACAGGTGGAGTCATAGAACAAGATTCACTCTGTTATATCTTTTAGTCTGTGTATTTGCTGGAGATTTCAACAGTCCAGTATATAACTTATTTGTATACAAACATTTTGTATGTGACATTCAATTTCACAGGTTTTCTTCACAAGATATAATGCCCATAGACAAATGGATATATATAGAATTATAAGAGCAAATTAAATGTTGTCAGTGTTAAACATAAACATTTTACAAGAAAAACATCCATCTACTGATAAAAATAAAGCCCTACATATCCTGGTATTCTTCAAAACTCCTGGAAAATATCAGACACAGTCATTATGTTACAGATATTTTTGGAGTGTTTGCGTATTATGATATCCTTGGGTGTGATTATTATGTTTCTCTCTCTCTCTCTCCAGGCCTGGCTTCAACAGTATGGGTATCTGCCCCCAGGAGATCTCCGTACTCACACCATGCGCTCCCCCCAGTCCATGACTGAGGCGATAGCTGCCATGCAAAGATTCTACGGATTGACTGTGACAGGCAAAATAGACAGCAAAACAGAAAGGTCTGTAATTTTCATAGATACTATCAGGGATATTCACTAAAGTGAGAATTCAAAGTGAATTTTAAACTAACAGCCAAAATAGCTGAAATTGAGAAAAAAAAGTCAGCTATGCTTCTAGCTCAGCTACTTTGGCCTTAATTTTGAAATTTGTTTTGAATTCTCACTTTACTAAATAGCCATGTGTATGTTAATCCTGTGGTTGTTCACAATTATATACACATGAGAGAATATAGCTGCCTGCATGGTACCCAAAAGTAATGTCAGCGTAAAGTTACAGTATATAGCTGATAATCATATATACTAAATGAATATCAAATGTGCACCTTAGTTTAGATGATAAACCCCTAGCATATAAAGTGTGAGTGCAGCGCCTTAAAATAAATGTAGGGACTTACCCTCACAAATGTAACAATAATGGATACATAGAATACAAAAAGAGTAATAAAATATTATGGTGCAGTACGTATGTGCATATTTAACCACACATATGGTGAGCAAAAATAAACTCAATGTATAGAGGTTTTTCAGGGTATATATATTTGTAATCGGGGACTAAAGCCGTATATATATATATATATATATATATATATATTAAATATATATCTAAGTGTGCATTAAGACATTAGGAACACCTGTGTTTTGCATGAAATCAAAGGACAAGGTGTATACATGACAAATGTGGCAAGTATAGAAAATATGATGCAGTTATCCTATAACAGAGGATATATGGGCACGATAAAAGATTGAAGTGCTTCTGGGGTATGGTGGAAATTTGGAAGTGCAGTGTTTTGAGTCTTTTAGGAACTACAATGATATTGGGCTGTTTAGGCTCAACAGATACTTGTGTGTCTAGGCCTATCTGGCATGGAACAACAGGCCAGTGGCAGCCAAATAGCCAGAGGTTAATGCATTAGCCTTTTTTTAACTTTGGTTGGTAACTAAGCCAAATTGCTCAGAAAACTATTTGGCATAAGCCAAAGACTTTTTGAACCATATTCACTACAATGAGCTGTAGCGGTTATAGTGCTTAGAGTGATGATTTGACTTTGCTTGTGAACAGGAAAAGGTGTTATTTAGTGTATCTTACCCAGAGAGACTGGTAATGGATGCAAAAGAGGATGTCTGGAGAGAAACTCATATTCCTGATTAACTATAGGGATATTATAAGCACCAAAGCAACTTTGGTGCTTAGAGTATTTTATGAAGTATAGATCATGCCCCTGCAATTTCACTGCTCAATTCTCTTTTTTTTGTTTCACACAGCCTGCATGGAAAGGATTTTATTTTCAGACAGATCTTACAGTACAGTGTGTTTACTTTTATGTAGTATAGATCATGCCCCTGCAATTTCACTGCTCAATTCTCTTTTTTTTGTTTCACACAGCCTGCATGAAAATGATTTTATTTTCAGACAGATCTTACAGTACAGTGTGTTTACTTTATATGTTATTATTATTTAAAGGAACACTATAGTGTCAGGAATATAAACATGTATTCCTGACACTAGAGGCCTGAGTTGGCTGTTTAGGTTACCGACACCCCTCCAATCGCAGTAAAAAAGTGATTTTACTCACCTTTCTCCCGCTGGTCTCACAGTGTCTGGCTCTGTCTCCATGGCTGAGATCATCAATTTTGATGATCTCAGCCAATCCATTGCATTCCCATAGGAAAGCATGGGTAGGCTATTGCACATGCACTGCGTCAATCAGCATCTCCTCATAGAGATGCTTTGAATTATTGCATCTCTACAGGGAACATTCCGTGTGGAGATGCTGAACGCCAGTGCTACATACTGTGCAGCACTGGGCTAGGAAGCGCCTCTAGTGGCTGTCTGAGTGACTGCTACTAAATTTGTCACTAGGCCCCCATGCAAACACTGCCTTTTTTCTGCCTTTTCACTACATTAAGCATTGTAGTGGTTCTGGGGACTATAGTGTACATTTATGTGACAAGGCAAACAAATAACGAGATATAGTAAAATGTAATGCGGAAATAGCACTTGACTTTTTACATATATTATAAAGAAAAAGGAAAGAAACAAAAGTTAAGAAGGGGACCTCCCACTACAGTGGGTCAAAAAGAAGAAGGGGATGTCTCCATACAGAACCACCAAAAGACTCAAGTATACGTAATCCAAGGGTCCCAAGTTTTACGGAAAGAGAAAAGGGTACTGCAGACCATACGTTTATCCATAGTTGTCAGCACTCTTAGCCATGAACTCCCTGATTGAAGGCATTTCATCCTGTAACAATACCACAGCAGGAGACTTGCAAGCAGCTAAAATGATTTTGTTAAATGGTTTTTGAGACTGGATTAGGAAACCTTATGGAAGGTCCCCAATATGGTCCTCCAGTATGTAGCAATCCTTTAATCACACACAGGAGGCTGTTACAGGCTATCAAAAGAGCATGAGATAAATTCTAAATTAAGAACACTGTGCAATAAGGGAAGGAACACAGCCTCCCCACACAGGAAATGTGTATGGAGGCTGTGTGAGTCTCAGCCGGAGAAAAAAAGGGGTGACTAGGGCTGCATAGACAAAATTATGTAACTTCTAAATGGCAGATAATTGAGCAGTAAAAACCTGTAGGGAAATGATCTATACACCAAAACTGCTTCATTAAGCTAACGTTGTTTTGGATGCTTAGAGAGGGTTGTTGGAGGTTAATGTTTTCCTCTTCAGCAACATTGTTCACCTGTTATTGACTTCCCGACCTCAATGGTGACATACAAAGTATAATCCAGCCTAGAAAGTAACTGAGTTGTAACTAATAAATGTAGATTGTCTGCTGTATGGTAGATCCCATTTACTCAAAACATTTTAATATACATTAACACTTGTGTTGTATTTTAACATGATTATGGTTTTGTGTTTATAAGTTATCGCACCTCACTTATAGAGCACTTTCTTAAGTGTTAGACCTGCTGTTTTATTTCATTTTATAATACGGATAAAAAAAAAAAAATAATAGAAGGGGGAAATAATTAAAACTCCTCTGGTGCTTTCCATTAACTTGTGAAAATATTTTTCATTAATTCTGTTTCAATTAATACGTTCTGTGAGAGAGATTATTTTATCTAGGAAGTGAAGCACTGAGGAGCTGTTCTAGTGCAAGTGGTACAGTTTCCATTTTTGATTGTTTTTTAGAATATCATACATCTTGATGAATTTCAAAATCTGTGGAAGTCTAGATACATTTAGTAATATAGCTATGAATGATACAAAATAGACATGAGTTTCTTGTTGCTAATTATATTAACTTCATAGGGAATGGCATCTGTATTCCACAGTTAATTATTGAGTTCCGGGTTTCATTGAAACACCAGACCTGACTCTGATGTCACAGTCTGTTCGTCACCAATTTATAATTGTGTGTGCTCTGCAATTAATCTGTCCATGCCCAAGTGAAGTGTGGGGGCACCGACCAGCAGAGTTATTCACTGAAGTAAGTGACAACCGCAGGGAATTCAAAGTGAATTTCCAATCGAAGGACAAACTAGGCGAACTGAAAGCATAACTGACTGGGAAAATGTTTCCAGTTGAGCTATTTTGACCGTAAACTTGAAATTTACTGTAAATTCCCTGCAATTCTCACTTTAAACACTGATAAGTTTTTAAAGGAAGGCTTATAATAGTTGGGAACATTAGTCATCCTCGTCAGTGTTGTAATCATGAGCTGAAATGAAGGAACTAGATAGACAGAATGTTGGGGTTCTAGTAGAATGAACCGGGGGAAGTGTGGAGCTGAGTGCATTCTTCTGCAGAGTGAAAGGGACACTATAGTCACCAAAACAACTTTAGCTTAATGAAGCAGTTTTGGTGTATAGATCAGTCTCACTGCTCAATTCTTTGCCATTTAGGAGTTAAATCACTATGTTTATGCAGTCCTAGTCACACCTCCCTGTATGTGACTTACACAGCCTTCCTAAATACTTCCTGTAAAGAGTCATCTAATGTTTACACCTCCTTTATTGCAAATTCTGTTTCATTTAGAATTTCTTATCTCCTACTCTGTTAATAGCTTGATAGACTCTGCAGAGCCTACTGTTTGCAATTAAAGCTCAATTTACAGAGCAACAGAACTGCTTCATTACGTTAAATTTGTTTTGGTGACTATAGTGTCTCTTTAAGATGTAGTACTGTGTCTCTAAGGTGCATTATATCCCATAGTTGAATGTTTGACAGTATATAAGAGCAGAAGCTAGCACTGGATACATGTGTAGACTAGGTCTATATTTGTGCCCTAGTGCAAGAGGAATTCTACTCAGTGAAATTAGGAGGGAGTGAAACTGTATTCAAGGACAGGCAACAGGGTGAAACTGTGGTTTTGTGGGAGACAGAAACTTTCATTATGTGGGAGGTGGTAGTGACTAGCACTGCTAGACTGGAACTGCTCTTGGATAAGGGAGAGGAGACAGGCTGTGGCTGGATATTTTAAGAGAAGGAGGGGCTGCTGGTCACTGTTCATGGACATGCTTGTCTTCAGTAGGGCAAGTCAAACATTAACTAATTGATTTTTTTTTTATTGATTTTTTTTCAATGCCGAGTAGTCAGTTTATTTACAATGCTTCCAATGCCATAATAATACAACAATTATAATGTGTAGGGATACCTTTTAAATCTGTAACATTGAATGCATGTTAAAAAGGGTGATTTTAGAATGACACTGTGATCATTTGACGTCATTAAATTTGTGCAAAAACAATTAAAAAGATTCAGTTTTGGGAGTTAGAGTGCAGACACCTTGCACCTTTAAAACGTGTACTTCCTAACCCCAACATCTACTAATGCTACCCCTATTATAAATCCTCCACGCCTAAAATGTCATTTTGTAATTGTCGAAGTTATAAGACATTTAAAATGCACCTTTTTAATGCATACTCTGTTATTTGAAGAATTTTGAAGATAGAGATAAAAAAACAAACAAAAAAACAAAGCAGACACTGGTCTTCAAATGTAATACATGCATGAAAGCCTAGTGTCATGAGATCCCTTGTTAGCCGTTTACTGAGTTTCACGGGAGTTTAGCAGTTGGAGTACAGATTGGCTACTACATGTCACAAATGAACAATTAATGTTTTCATGTATATTTACAGTGCTATGAGGAAGCCACGTTGTGGTGTTCCTGACAAATTCGGGTCTGAAATCAAAGCAAACGTGAGAAGGAAGAGATATGCTATCCAAGGTCTAAAGTGGCAACACAAGGATATTACTTTCTGGTATGTACCAAAAAACTTGCAAACAAAAGAGGGTCTTCACAAAGTGAATGGCCCCTCGAAGGGGCACTCTTAAACACCTTACCAACTACAGGCTTAGAGTGCCCCTTTCATATGATTTAGTTTTACATACATTCTAAATACGTTTTTTGCAGTATACAGAACTACACTCCAAAAGCGGGTGAAACTGAAACATATGAAGCAATCCGAAGAGCCTTTAAAGTCTGGGAGACTGCAACTCCACTGCGCTTTCGTGAGGTTCGATATATTGACATTCAAGATGGATATGCCAAGCATGCTGATATCATGCTTTTCTTTGCTGAGGGGTTTCATGGAGATAGTACTCCCTTCGATGGAGAAGGAGGCTTTTTGGCACATGCATATTTTCCAGGTCAAGGCATTGGTGGGGACACTCACTTTGATGCAGCAGAACCCTGGACAACCCGGAATGAGGATCTTGATGGTAAGAATGAAATAGGTAGCTAGCGACTGAGAGGTGTAAAACATTAAAGAAAAACAAATGTGGCGGAGAAGGTGATTTCATCATTATGTAACAAAGATTTTCACTGCCTGCAGGTAATGATCTGTTTCTGGTGGCTGTTCATGAACTTGGACATGCATTAGGCTTAGAACATTCAAACGATCCATCAGCCATCATGGCCCCATTCTATCAGTGGATGGACACTAAGAACTTTCAGTTACCAGATGATGACCGCAGAGGAATCCAACAGCTGTATGGAAATAGTGAGTATATTGCACAGAAATGTCATTACATAGTACAAATGTGTACTATGTGCAAAGTATGTACTAATATTACATTAGGGCCCACATTTGTTCAAATTCAGCAAAAAACGTTTAAAATTACTTTTTATTTTTAAAAAGTAGGGAAAAAAACATATGTGAAAATAGCACTGTTTTCTGTGGTCCTCAGAATGCTTGGTTGTATAGGGAGAGGTATGGTTCTTATCTGCCGTCACACTCTATGTTTCTCCTGTCACATAATAAAAAAGTACAGTTGCCATTTGTAGGTGCCAGTACCTGACATTACATTTAGTTCACCCTTAGGTACTTGCTGACCCCTCAAAATAAACTTTGTAACAGTTCTTGTGTAAGATTATAGATTAAAAAGAACAGTTGGTGTAGATTAATTTTAATGGTAGCATCACAAGTTTACCTGCAATCACTGTACATAACAGGTATATCCAGGTATTTCCTGCTTTAATATCCAGGTGTGTATTACATTTTTGTTACATTGCACCCACTCCCCCAGTGTAATGAACTGTGTAGCAAAGTATCCCAGGACCCTTTACCAAGGAGAAAATATGGGAGAGCCTTTACATAGGAGGTTAAGGAATGCCTGACATACGGCCAAAACAACTGGGAAGTACTGGTCCCATAAAAGTGTCTGCATGTAGTGGATATTATTAGGAATTGACAGAATGGAACAATTTTTAGACTGTTATCTTTCCTATTTTCAGGGGATGGGGAACATCATCCAACACGGGCACCCCGTCCCACACGTCCACCTCATCCTACACCCAGTCATATACCAGACGCTGGTCCTTATGACCCCGATACTCCTTACGGCCCTGATATCTGTAAAGGCAACTTTGATACTATTGCTGTATTGAGGGGAGAGATGTTTGTGTTCAAGGTAAGGAAACAATTATACTATGTTTTAAATACTTCAAATATTATTTCACCAGACATAGTGGGAAAAAAAATAATTCCCTTCTATTTGTTTAATCAAAGTATTGTTCTGTTAGGGTCTGTTTTTTTTTTTTTTTTTATACTATATCTTGGCATTTTACCTTTATAGTAATTCTTTACCTATATTCATACTAAATATCTCCCACCTAGTGTCATCTCTCTAAACCTTCAATAATTACCTTACTATGTTCAATATGTTTTACTTTTATCCCTGCCGTAGGAGCGCTGGTTCTGGCGTGTACGTCATAACCGTGTGATGGATGGGTATCCCATGCCTATTGGACAATTCTGGCGCGGGCTTCCCAACTCTATTAACTCTGCATATGAACGCAAGGATGGAAAATTTGTCTTTTTCAAAGGTAAACTTTTTTTTACAATTTTTTTTACATTCTTTATTTTTTAATTCAGTCGAACATAACAGTAATGCAGTTTTTTGTGTAACACATGAAGGTAGTGGAAAACAATATACCAAAGATCGTTATACAGTCATGTGTTGTTATACCCCAACAGAAGAGCCGTGGCTCTACCTGAACCCCCCCTTCCCCCCCTCCCAGTTTCATACTTAGGGGGGTATAGCCTGCAGGAACAGAGCAGTAGCATGACTGGGACAGTATGATCTCTTTCCCCCTTTTAAGTGGTCTGACATTGTTTTGTACTCAATTTGCATACATCAGTGTCATACTTTGTGACGGTGCTAACCCGTGTGTGAGGTTGGGACTCCCCTTTCTAGGCGTGTGTGTGCTATAGCCTGCCCCACATGTTGCGCGGGATGTGGGGGGGCAGGGGGGCGCATTGCACAATAATCGGTGCTTGTTTATAGTTGTGCCTCCACCTGTTAGGACAGGCCGTGACAACCCTATTCCATACTGTGCTCTCCTGTTGACACTCCCCCCTCCCCCCCCACTCCAACCCATCCCGTGGTCATAGGCGGGTCTTGTTCTTGTTAGTCAGATGTAATGTGCTGTGTGAGAGTTTTGACTGTCACGGGGGCCCAGGTTAGAAATCTAGGTGGTTGCTGTCCAAGCCCGTGCATAACAGTAACAGTCCGTAACAGTCCGGCAGCTAACCATCTACCGTTTGCGATCAGTGGTGTTGTACAGGGTGAGGGGTGGAGAGAGGAACTGGTATAAGCGAAGGGGAAGAAGGAAAGAAAAAAGGGGGGGGAGGAGTGGAGGCAGAATCTGACTGCGTAGGAGTAATGAGAAGTGACTGAAAAGGTGGTACGGGGGGGGAGGGGAGAGGGGATGGCTATGGCCAGAGGGGGGTCCATGTCGGTGTCGCCGGGTGTTACAGTCCACTCTACTTAACCACACCCCAGACCCGGGCTCTCTGTCTGTCTGCTCCCCACATCACCTGCCCCCCTGGCCGGTGGGCCATATATTCAAAGGTAATTTAATAAAGGAACTTGTGTTTCCCTGAAATAAAGCTCAGTAATATTATCTGAATTTTGAATACCAGTGTGATTATTTATCATTATGCCACTATGAAACCAGGGAGAATACTGAAATTAGATGAGCGAACAATTGACTGGTTTATGATAAAGTAGGAACAACCAGTAGAATGAACCTGCTTTGTAGAACTTTAAAGGAATAATTGACAACTACAGACAGTTAAAAACTGCAGTCCATCAAAGGTTTCTGTATCAAGTTCTTCGTTACGTTCGCATCTAGTGTGTGAACTATATAGTTTGCTGTCTGAGTGCTCATTAGTGTTGATTTTTAGGAGACAAATACTGGGTATTTGAGGAAAACATTCTTGAGCCTGGATATCCTAAGACACTGAAGGAGCTTGGCCGAGGACTACCAAGTGATAGGATTGATGCTGCCCTCTACTGGATGCCCAACGGAAAGACCTACTTTTTCAGGGGAACCAAGTAAGTGAGCAGAGCAAGGGGGACAAATATACAGAATAGAGTTCTCGATGTCAAAGCAGATCTCTGGTTGGTTGAACATTTGTTGCTTTGTTTTACACACTGAACATCATGTTCTATCTTTCCTCCAGATACTACCGCTTTAATGAGGAAATGAGGGCAGTGGATGCGGATTACCCTAAATTGATCAAAGTGTGGGAAGGAATACCTGACTCTGTCCGAGGAGCATTCATGGGCAGTGATGGTGGTAAGGAGATAAGGGGCTATTGCTGTGTGCAGAGGGAGGCCAATAGTGGTAAAATTGGTGTTTTTTTTATCTAATGACAGTGAAAATGCTACCTGTGTATTAGATGCCTAATAATGTTGTTTTCTTTCCCTTTTCTTCTCTTTCACATAACCATTTCTGTTTTCTGCTTTCTTTTTCATTTCCTCTGTATCCTCTCCCCTTTACCATCTTCTTCATACCTCCTTCATTCCCTGTTCTCCATCAGCCTTCACCTATTTTTATAAGGGTAACAAGTACTGGAAATTCAACAACCAACAATTGAAGACAGAATCTGGCTTCCCAAAATCTGTTCTACCAGACTGGATGGGCTGCAGTTCAGCAAGAGTACCTGAAGAGAAGGATGATGACAGGGAAGTTGTAATCATTGAAGTGGATGAAGCAAGTGGAGGTGTAAGCACTGCAGCTGTTGTGGTTCCTGTTCTTCTATTGCTTTGTGTCTTGAGCCTTGGACTTGCCGTCATTCTTTTCAGGCAGTGTGGAACTCCCAAGAGGCTCCTATATTGGCAGCGCTCTCTGCTGGACAAAGTCTGAGACCAAATAAAACTGGACCCTCCCCCCATCACTGCGTCTCCATCCATCCCACGGCTAACTTCCTCCACACACAGACAACACGAGGAGCAGTGTGACCCGCTTGGGGAGGGAGGGGAAGAGGTTGATGCAGTTTACATCATCTGGACCTCTTGTTATTTATGTGGCATGCTGCGCTGTGTTTAACCCCTTCACTGCCAGGGTAAAGCCACATCATCCAAGATGGTTATTGCGCAGTCACAGGATTTTTTATACAATTGGTTGTTGTTGGTCAGGAAGAGAGTTTGGAACAACGTGGGGTCATATACATGTATTAGTGCATAGCAAAACGACATATTGAGGGTCATAAAAGGAGCCAATACCAATTCTTAATTTTGTGAAGTTGTCTGCCTGCACCTTCCCCCAGACTGCACTATTCCATTGCTCTTATGGAACAGTAAAACAAAGGCGACGAAATGTTAATATTTTGGATGGGTCTTTCGATAATAATTAGCTGGTGTCTTTTCTCAATCAAATAGTGCTAATATAATTTTTCTTAAACTTCACCCAATGAATATATGGGTTTAATCGCAACCAAAATATAAAATGTATATATCATTTGAAATATCAGTTTCGATATGAAGGACCATTTGATTTTGCACTTATTTTAAGATAATTTTTTAGGCAAGCCTGCCCTAACAGGAAGGAGCAAATACAAAACAAAAATTTCCAGCCGCTGGAGTTACAGCACACACAATAGCAAATATATCAATTTCTATCTATTCCACAAATGTTTACATATATTTATGAATGTTAGACAAGTTCTTTCAGAGGAGAGATATATTTGAGATAGGGTTTCCGGTTTCCTAAACTCAGCACTGTTTAATTGAGAATAAAAAGACCCCTGATGTCACCTATGCAAAATATTTTGTTTTACTGTCCCTATTCTTGTCTAGGGTAAGTATTTCTGAGGAAGACACATTTTGTCTTTCTCTGTAAACCTGCCTAAATAGGTCTGAGGTTATCCTCCCTCCTTCCCCAGGTTACATGGCATCTACAGAACTGAAGCAGCTAATAATACCACCACTGTTATAAAAGGGAATAGAGAACTGCTATATAACATTTGCTTGTTAAAATGGTTGTCACGTGAATTGCCAAATATAGGATCTCTCTACTGCAGCTTTCAGATATTTACATAGCATTTTTGGTAAATGTTGTTGTTCTTTTATTTTTAGTTGTTTACATGGGTTGTATAAGCTTACTACTACTAGGGGCCATTTTCCAGGTGCTTATTTTGCACTGGATCTGCATTGTTGTACAGTACAGTACTGACTCCACAAAGATGACAGTGCCCGGTAGAAAGCCTTTAGAACCAGCACAATGTCAGGGATTAAATCTTATGATTGAGGCTTGCCAGGAAGATATATTATTCATTACCCACCTAATGTTGGTGTGGAAAATGTATATATATATTTTTTAACTTATCTGCTGTTTTTTAACTTGATGTTACAAGTAGTGATTACAAAAATAGCTATTAATAAATGAAACCTGGCCATGTTATAAAAAGTTGTTTCTCCTTGACAGCAAATTGGGGGAATAATAAATCAATATGAAGTATTTCTTACAATTAACTTTAACTTGTGTGGCAGACAAGAAACTGTGACCTTCAGTCCTCCCCGTTAAAATGCATTCATACAAAAATGATCACTGATGAATGTGAAGGAGGACTGGCCAAACGGTAGCTCCCTTAAGCTGTTGTCCACAGCATATTTTGGGCATTGTTGTCTGATAGATGCCACTGTAGGACGTAAGTAAAGGAACAGCTCTGGCCATGGGAGGGTAATTTTAACCCTCGGAATAAGCGACCATTTGTGGCATTATCATAAACTGGGGCTTGTAATCCCTATTCCAGAATAAACCGCCTACTTATTTAGACTTAGTACAGTTTTATTAGGCATGCAGCATAATATGTTTAAGGTCTAGATTATTTGTAGAGTATTGTTTATTTCATACTGTAATGAGCACTAAAAACAGGATTCAAACAGTGTTTGCATGTTGACCAAGTGACTGTGTGTGGGATTAGGAAATCGCAGTCCTGCAAAATAAATATAGATTAGTAATCTATATGGGGACAGATGAGGAGTTAGGTAAGTGTTTTTGCAGAGCAGGAATCTGTATCTGGGAAAGGGAGGTACAAGTCTATGGTCACCCAACTCCTGAAATGCCGCACAAGGTACCCCGTCCCCCGTTTAATTTCTTTCTGACGCCTCCTCTCTGCTCTCCACCATTCTATGCATTCTGAAGTCTCTGGAAGGGTAGCAATAAGTTTCAACTTTAAGGAGTACCTGTAGGCCCTTAACTTGGAGTGAATCACTGCTCTGCTGGATGTTATCGTGCTCGATTAATTTTAGTTATTGCCCTGCAGGGCTCTGACAGAGGGAGCATTAATCAACGCTTTGCAAGTCTCCCGCAAAGAAGGGTTAATCACTACTCTGTTAGGGAAGGGTTTAATAACTGTTTTGCTCATCGCTGCATGGATGTAGTTAACCACAGCTCTTTAAGTCTGGTAGAGAATGGGTTAAGTTCTGCTCTGGCTGCCTCTTTTCAGGAAAGGGTTAATCACAGCATTACAGGCCTTACTAGCAGGAAAGAGGTTAATCACTGCTTTGCAATTTTCTGTGGCAGGGAAGGGGTTAATCACAGCTCTGCAGGTCTCTGGCATGGATAAGGGTTAAGAAGGGCAGATCACATGGTACGTTCAGGGGTGGAGGTCACGTTTGCTTGTTTCCTGTCTTTCTCCTTCCTTTGATTTATATTTTTATTATTATAATTATTATTATTATTTGATAATGATGCTCCACGCATTTGCGCACAGCACCTGCAGGTCAGGCCGCATTGCGCCTCCCTCTTATCCACTGCCAGAGGGATCTGTGGGGTAACTCACATCCGATGAACACGTTTAATTGGTCCCTCAAGCAATGAGTGCCAGAGCCCTTCACCCCAACCCCAAAACCTGCATTGGGGTTTGGAGACTGCCCTAATCATCGTCCCTTCAAAGTGCCTTCATAGCATACACAGTGATGTGTGAAGGGCTGAAATATCCAATGTTTCTTCAGTTGAGACAATTGAAGAAAGAGTTGGTGGCCTCTTGCTGATTTTATTAAAGCATAACTTGTGGGCAAAATCTGTGTTTTTTTATGTTTTTTACTTTTGTAAATTTTAAGAAAAGCTATTTGTTATGAACAAAAAAAAACAACAACATTTTGTAACACTAGAAATATAAAAAATACCAAAATGTGAAATGGTGTTTTTTTCTGTGTATTTGTGCATTATTAACATTTATTTAAAGGATGCTGTGTATTCTACTTTACCATCCAGCTTGGATTCTGAACTAGTAAGCATTGAACAAAGTAAATGTATGCAAAACCGTAAACAAGGTTTCATATTCAATTTTTAACACTCATTGAAGGGCATCTTTTTTTTGTGCATATTTCACGAGTTTAGAAATGGAGGGTAGGTCTTTCATCTTTTGTTTTCCAAGATTTGTATTTGACAAAGCTTCTCATTATTTATAAGAAACATATGCGTTCTACTAATAGCGACACTTTCACTGACTAAATACAAAATAATATATTTGGCACCCCTGAGCCGCTAAGACAGAGCCTGACACGGCTCTGGACCATAATCAAGATTTTTACATGTGTTTGTATATTTTATGACACTTGGGTGGTTGTTTGACACTGGTATATATTTTATGTTTTGAACTATAAATACAAAATAAATTAAACATCACTGTTTAGTAGATATACCCCAAATTTAATTTTGCACATATTTAATAATGCATTTTTTCTTTTGGGTATATATATATATATATATATATATATATAAACAGCTTGCAAAACCTGCAGTTCTTTCATCTGCAGCCTTGACAAACCCCACCCAGATTTTCTGTGGCTGCCCAATCACAGAGTTACCAGTGCAGCTTAATGAGATGTCTTTGCAAGACCGATGCTCTGGGTAATTGCCTTCCTCTTACGTTTAGCTCCACTGGACTAACTAAACCAGGAAGTAAAAGGACCAACTGTCCTGACTGCGTGGTGGTGAGACCAGGTACATTTATAAAAGTGTTAATTTCTATTGATATGTGCACTTTTTAAAAACGAAAATAATAGTACACTCTTCACACATAAATCTTTTCAGTAAGCTAAAGTGCTTAGAAGTCTGGAGTGAACCTTTAACCCCTTAAGGACACATGACATGTGTGACGTCATTCCCTTTTATTCCATAATTTTGGTCCTTAAGGGGTTAAAGGAACACTCCAAATACCTACGTAACCATACTACTAAGAAATAACTTTATCTAAATAACTCTCACATTGCGTGTAAACGTTTTGTCATCTAGTTGTGTTTACCAATCCTGTACTGGTTTGGGAGACTGCTTTAGGTCTAGAGCTAGTGTGCCCAAAAGGTAGATCCCTAGATGTTTTAAAACTACAGCTTCCATGATGCTTTGTTATTCTAAAGGCATGCAAAGCATCATGGGAGTTGTAGCTCTACAGCATCTGAGGCTCTACTTTTTGGGCACCCTGGTCTACAGAGATCTCTGGCAGGGCTCTGGTTGAATTATGTCTGAGCAGGAATATATGTTTTAAATACTCAAATCTTGTCTCTGTATTCATGCTTTTATTTACTTTTATTTTACCAGGTTTTTTTATGTGTGCATGTTTCTGGGTAAAAGGTTCTGCTGATATTCAGCGTCATACAGTGTAATTTTAAATTGAATGCATATGAGTCCCCCTAGCCAGCTGCTTTAAATTGGGTTAAAGAAATCACTTATTTAACCATGGCGGTTTTTTTATATGGGATCTGAGACAAGTTATTTGATTCCCTTTTTTCCAGCCTCACGAAAATGCTCTATATAATAGTCATACAGTTCTCCTTTTCAATTGCCAGTCAACACTAGCCAACATTCAAGACAGAAGTAGCAGATCCAAGAGTGGTTTAATTAAGGCAGACAGATTACAATAAACTGCAATTTCAAATTACCCTTATGTCTTATTTCTACTTTTTCTAACAGTTTTCAGTAACTGGTCTCTGAGAGACCAAATCCAACCTTATCAACATTCAATTTAGTATTTATGGAATCCAAAATTTGAATAGAGTTAAAAATGATAAATTACTTGTATATTGTGCCATCTCCAAAAATCATTAACACGGCTGGGGCACTACACACTAACAATGATTATTGCTTTGGAACTCTTTAATAATCATAAATACCACACAATACAGTGTTTTGAAGATCCTTTCCTCATTTACAAAGCTTATTGAGATTTCTTGTTGTGACCTAAAGTGAGTGTATCAAGTGAACTTCAAATTTAAGGTCAAAATAGCCAAACAGGAAAACTTTACTAAATCAGCTATTCATTCAGTTTGATTACTCTGGCCTTAAATTGGAAATTCACTTGGAATTCTCCCTGTAAGTTATGTGCATTGTGTATAAGTGTGTCACAGAACTCCACTGAAGTAATACAGTAAGCTGCTGTATATATGAGTGCATCACAGACCTCAGCAGTAAAACTCCTAGTAGTTTGCAGAGTACATTATTGTTTCACAGAGTCTCTCACTAATACATAGAAACATAGAATGTGACGGCAGATAAGAACCATTCGGCCCATCTAGTCTGCCCAATTTTCTAAATACTTTCATTAGTCCCTAGTCTTATCTTATAGTTAGGATAGCCTTATGCCTATCCCACGCATGCTTAAACTCCTTTACTGTGTTAACCTCTACCACTTCAGCTGGAAGGCTATTCCATGCATCCACTACCCTCTTGGTAAAGTACTACTTCCTGATATTATTTTTAAACCTTTGTCCCTCTAATTTAAGACTATGTCCTCTTGTTGTGGTAATTTTTCTTCTTTTAAATATAGTCTCCTCCTTTACTGTGTTGATTCCCTTTATATATTTAAATGTTTCTATCATATCCTCCCTGTCTCGTCTTTCCTCCAAGCTATACATGTTAAGATCCTTTAACCTTTCCTGGTAAGTTTTATCCCGCAATCCATGAACCAGTTTAGTAGCCCTTCTCTGAACCCTCTCTAAGGTATCAATATCCTTCTGAAGATACGGTCTCCAGTACTGTGTACAATACTCCAAGTGAGGTCTTACCAGTGTTCTGTACAATGGCATGAGCACTTCCCTCTTTCTACTGCTAATACCTCTCCCTATACAACCAAGCATTCTGCTAGCATTTCCTGCTGCTCTATTACATTGTCTGCCTACCTTTAAGTCATCAGAAATAATCACCCCTAAATCCCTTTCCTCATATGTTGAGGTTAGGACTCTATCAAATATTCTGTACTCTGCCCTTGGGTTTTTACGTCCAAGATGCATTATCTTGCACTTATCCACATTAAATGTCAGTTGCCACAATTCTGACCATTTTTCTAGTTTACCTAAATCATTTGCCATTTGGCTTATCCCTCCTGGAACATCAACCCTGTTACATATCTTAGTATCATCAGCAAAAAGACATACCTTACCATCAAGACCTTCTGCAATATCACTAATAAAAATATTAAAGAGAATGGGTCCAAGTACAGATCCCTGAGGTACCCCACTGGTGACAAGTCCAAGCTTCGAATATATTCCATTAACTACAACCCTCTGTTGCCTGTCACTCAGCCACTGCCTTACCCATTCAACAATACTGGAATCCAAACTTAAAGATTGCAGTTTATTGATAAGCCTTCTATGTGCAACAGTGTCAAAAGTCTTACTGAAATCTAGGTAAGCAATGTCTACTGCACCACCCTGATCTATAATTTTAGTTACCCAATCAAAAAAATCAATAAGATTAGTTTGGCATGATCTCCCTGAAGTAAATCCATGTTGTCTCTGATCTTGAAATCCATGTGTTTTTAGATGTTCAACAATCCTATCCTTTAACATGGTTTCCATCACTTTCCCCACTACTGAAGTAAGGCTTACTGGCCTATAGTTGCCCGACTCCTCCCTATTACCTTTCTTGTAAATGGGCACAACATTCGCTAACTTCCAATCTTCTGGGACTACTCCTGTTAACAATGATTGGTTAAATAAATCTGTTAATGGTTTTGCTAGTACACCACTAAGCTCTTTTAATAGCTTTGGGTGTATTCCATCAGGTCCCATTGACTTATTTGTCTTTACTTTTGACAGTTGAACTAGAACCTCTTCCTCTGTAAACTCACGTGTAATAAATGACTCATTTATCCTTTTTCTCAACTGAGGTCCTTTTCCTTCATTTTCATCTGTAAATACAGAACAAAAATATTCATTGAGGCAGTCAGCTAGACCTTTATCCTCTTCTACATACCTTCCTTCTTTTGTTTTTAATCTAACTAATCCTTGTTTTACTTTTCTTGAACAACTCTCTGTAATAAGCAGTGTGTATCCATACCTTTCAAATTGTCAAAGAGGGACACTTTAATTTGTGAGTGGGAGTGTGGCCAGGGGGTAAGGCTGTTCTGATAAATTTTAGATGACTTACTAATAACAATTTAAAGGGATACTGTAGGCACCCAGATCACTTCAGCTAATTGAAATGCAATGTTTACATTGTACCTCTAAGTCTGCCCTCAGTGACTGTCTACCAGACAGCCACGAGAGGGCTTCCGGAATCCAAACAAACTTTTGGTCCGTTATCTGATGCTGGGCGTTCTCACGTACCTACAGCGACAGATTTTTCCCATAGGAAAGCATTATCAGATTTTTCCCATAGGAAAGCATTCAATAATGCTTTCCTATGGGGTGGTGTAATGCGCGCGCACAGCCATTGCCGCGCATGCGCATTAGGTCTCCCCCGCCTGGATGACATCAGCAGGGGAGGAGTTTGGGCGGAGCCTGACCCAGCGCAGATGGACATCGGCGCAGGATTCAGGTAAGTGGCTGAAGGGGATTTAACCCCTTCAGCCCTGCGGGAAGGGGAACCAATTAACCCTATCGTGCCAGGAAAACTGCTTTGTTTTCCTGGCACTATAGGATCCCTTTAAGGAAATGAAATGTAGTTTAAAAGAGATTTAGGCTTAGAAGGAGGTCTGTCCCTACTAAAAAAGTATATTGTTGAGATATGTCATATCATAGAACTCTTTGGTAAAGAAATGCACACAAATGAGTATAGGTGTATCATGGAGCTTCTCCGCAATAAAGCTCACAGTAATGTGCAAACTAGATGAGTACATCACTGATCTCCACAATAATCAAATTCACAGTAATGTACAATGTGTTTGAGTGTATCATAGACCTCCTAACTTTAAAACTGACATCGTAGCTCAGCCTCCAGAGCCATAAAACACATTACAATATGCACAATTATGCTATCAGTTCTCCAATAATTAATACTTATGTTCATTAGATATGTGGGGGATACCAGCTAAAAAAACGGAGGACACTGCAAAATGTCAATAACTTATAGTTTGTCTTAAATATCTGACCGCCACCAGTAGAACTCCTGGTTTATGGATTGCCATTTTCAACTGTGATGGCCAGACTGTGGGGTGGATGTGTGTGAAGTATGTAGTGACTCTAAGTGTTTGTGGTGATAATGTGTGATGTGTATAGGGAGAACGTGTATGATGTGGGACGGACCATTGGTGTGATATGTGGGTATAGTGGCTTATTGTGATGTTTGTGTTGACTGTGTGGGAGGACTGTATGTTTTTGTGACTTTAGCCTCTCCACACATTTTATTTTCATTTTTGCATTTAGTGAAAGCCAAAACATATTTTAACGCCTCCTGCTTACCACTCTGCATTAAGGGGTCTATATTTGCTGAGGGGCCATAATCCTTGGTGTTCTGCTGCGGGGAACATGTGGAATGCACTGTGGGGATCATGTGGAATGCACCTCCAGTGTGTGCAGACCACAGTAAATGCTCCTTCCAGTCTGGCATTGCTGTATAATTCATGTGTCATGACTAGAAGGAATTATTACTGTGCCTCGCACAAGTTTCTCCTCCCTCAACACCATTATGGAACACAGCCCTCACATTGTTCCCTGTCAGAATTGCAGTAATCTCATTTTTTAATGTTATATATTGCTGAATCGGCAATGTATTATGTATAAGGCAATTGTGGTTTTGCAAGGAAAACACATGGAGGGCTGGGGACAAGCTAGTGTGCGAAAGCGCCAAAACATCTCCATTGACACCAATACTTGTATGCTTTTTGGCTGTACTATACTGACTATACCTTGTACATGTCAACTAGAGGATCTACCAAGTCTGAAGTAGTCTCTTAATTATCAGACAGTAAGAGATACTGAGAAATAACTTGCAATACCTTGTGCACATTTTGTATACTGATTTTAATGGAGCTGAGATGCTTGGGACCTCAGGGCTTGACTCAAAATCTCAGGATTGTACTGGAATTTAATAGGAAGTGGGAAGAATTATAGAGTTGCATGAAATCTCCTACACTGATTTAATGATTATTAGTTTGAAAACTCGCAAGGCAGAATTGTTGCTCCCCAAATGTCACTGAAACACACCACCATAATTGTCTGCATGTCTATGGCAAATAATTAAAGGAGCTTTATTTGAATAACACCTGGAGAGCTACAGGGTTATTCAGCATTATTACAACTAGTCGATTATCATGTTTTTCACTACATGCAGCCTTGTGTTGGGCATATTATAAAGAATCTAGGCCAACACAGCTATAAAGTCTTTCGATACAGCCAACTATTTAAATATCAGGAACCAAAAGCTGAAGTCATACACATGCAACGAACACTATGTATCTTAAAAAGAACACCGTGATTTTCAAAAATCCATGTGGATTTTCATAATACCAAATAAATAATAGCTCTTGCTCGAGTTGTTGAACAGCCAAGTCTTTAGCATCATTCTGGAAGTGGTGCAATACAATTTAGGCAGATGGCAGTACATTCAGGCATAAAAATGTCCAATCTCAGTAACAGTTACGTTATCCATAAGCTCATGGCCGTAAAGGAAAAGTCAAAAGACATTAGGCATCATTGTGATAAGAACTTCCGAACCATGGTCTTACAGTAAACCATGTTGTGCCACAAACTTTAGCAGAAAAATCAACTATGGAGGGGTTTCAATGTTCCTTCAACTTTCAATCCTATTTGCCACCAATTATGATTAGCCTGTGTTGATGAAAAGGACTCAACTGGTCTAGAGAGGGGACAGGTTCACTCATTTGGAGAGATTATATCATGGCCCAAAACCTGGCCTCTTTCATACAGCCCCAACACATATAGTAAAAAGAGCCTCTGTCCCCACAACAACTTCAACAGACACCTGTGGGAACTGCACCCATGTAGACCAACTGGACCAATCATTGTTAACAGCAGTAGTACCAGAAGATTGGAAGTTAGCGAATGTTGTGCCCATTCATAATAAATGTAATAGGAAGGAGTCGGGCAACTATAGGCCAGTAAGCCTTACTTCAGTAGTGGGGAAAGTGATGGAAACCATGTTAAAGGATAGGATTGTTGAACATCTAAAAACACATGGATTTCAAGATCAGAGACAACATGGGTTTACTTCAGGGAGATCATGCCAAACTAATCTTATTGATTTTTTTGATTGGGTAACTAAAATTATAGATCATGGTGGTGCAGTAGACATTGCTTACCTAGATTTCAGTAAGGCTTTTGACACTGTTGCACATAGAAGGCTTATCAATAAACTGCAATCTTTAAGTTTGGATTCCAATATTGTTGAATGGGTAAGTAGAGATGTTGCTGACACATCCCGGCCAATCTCCAGCAGACCCTCCCTCCCAGACCCTCCTACTTCCTGGACAGCATCCATGTTGAAGGCAGCTCTCTGCTGGAGATTGGCCGGGATGTGTCAGCTGACCGGAGTTCGCCATGAACCGTTCGCAGCGATCCGTTCGCGAGAAGTTCGCGGACGGTTCGCGACATCTCTATGGGTAAGGCAGTGGCTGAGTGACAGGCAACAGAGGGTTGTAGTTAATGGGATATATTCAAAGCTTGGACTTGTCACCAGTGGGGATCTGTACTTGGACCCATTCTCTTTAATATTTTTATTAATATATTGCAGAAGGTCTTGATGGTAAGGTATGTCTTTTTGCTGATGATACTAAGATATGTAACCGGGTTGATGTTCCAGGAGGGATAAGCCAAATGACAAATGATTTAGGTAAACTAGAAAAATGGTCAGAATTGTGGCAACTGACATTTAATGTGGATAAGTGCAAGAAAATGCATCTTGGACGTAAAAACCCAAGGGCAGAGTACAGAATATTTGATAGAGTCCTAACCTCAATATATGAGGAAAGGGATTTAGGGGTGATTATTTCTGATGACTTAAAGGTAGGCAGACAATGTAATAGAGCAGCAGGAAATGCTAGCAGAATGCTTGGTTGTATAGGGAGAGGTATTAGCAGTAGAAAGAGGGAAGTGCTCATGCCATTGTACAGAACACTGGTGAGACCTCACTTGGAGTATTGTACACAGTACTGCAGACCGTATCTTCAGAATGATATTAATACCTTAGAGAAGGTTCAGAGAAGGGCTACTAAAGTGGTTCATGGATTGCGGGATAAAACTTACCAGGAAAGGTTATAAAGGATCTTAACATGTATAGCTTGGAGGAAAGACGAGACAGGGGGGATATGATAGAAACATTTAAATATATAAAGGGAATCAACACAGTAAAGGAAGAAAAGAAGAAAAACTACAACAACAAGAGGACATACTCTTAAATTACAGGGACAAAGGTTTAAAAATAATATCAGGAAGTATTACTTTACTGAGAGGGTAGTGGAATAGCCTTCCAGCTGAAGTGGTAGAAGTTAACACAGTAAAGGAGTTTAAGCATGCGTGGGATAGGCATAAGGCTATCCTAACTATAAGATAAGGCTAAGGACTAATGAAAGTATTTAGAAAATTGGGCAGACTAGATGGGCCGAATGGTTCTTATCTGCCTTCACATTCTATGTTTCTATGGACAGGGATCACATACCACTTCATGAGCATCTGACATGCATGTTCATGATGCACTGCACAGATAGATACTTTGGCTGTTGCTTGCCATATAGTGCACAAACCATTCCTGTCCAGAAACTCTTCCACATCCCTTTCCGAGACATTTCTGTATGGGAATGCAGTACCTCCCACCCTAAGGGATCTTCTATTAATTTAAACAACTGAAGGACAGCGTACCAGAGATGTAAATGTAGAATGGAATCTGATTGGCTACTTCTTTTCTGTTCACATTATAGATTCTTAGTTGTCAACACAGCTTATGATGAGATAAACTCCCTGGGATGTAAGTGAAGGTTGAAGATCTATTGTAAATACAATGGGGACCTTGTATAACAGCATGTGTATCATTGGGAACAATGTAAAAGTGTATATTGTAATTTTTCCCAATCCTATCAACACATGGCCATATTTTCTTTTCCTATTTTTCCAGCTGTGATACACTGGATGTTCAGTCTTGCTCAATTGCAGTGCTCTGTTGTAGTCTGGACATTATTTTCAGGATCTTTGTTCCGCTGTGAAAAGATGTACTATTCTTTTAGAACATCTTTTTTTTTTTTTTTAAATCTTCGACACCTAACAAATGTTTTTTTGGCTAGATTATGCTTAAATGAGATCTTTTTGGGTGATTACATATGGTGTGCTATAGGTCTGCTGTTCGGATACATAATGTATGAGAACTGGATTATTAAAGTATTATCGCTTCTGTATTTAAGTGGACCTGGTTAGTGATTATCTGTATATAGGTGAAAATGGCATATTTTAACTGGTTAAACACTCATGCAGGGGAGGTGTGGCTGGTGCTGCATAAGTAAAGTGATGTAACTCCTAAATAGCAGAGAATGGAGGTGACTAGAGGGGCATGATCTATACACTAAAACAGCTTAATTAAGCTAAATCTGTTTTGGTGCTTAGGATGTCCTTTAAGGTCTTATTGTTTAAAGGTACACTATAGGCACACTGACCACTTCATCTCATTGAAGTGATCTGAATGCACTGTCCCGGACCCCCTTAGTCCTGTAATGTAAAGCATTGCCGTTTTTTACATTGCAGCACTAAGACTGCCTCTAGTGACTGTCTACCAGACAATCACCAGAGGCGCTTCCTGGAGTTTCACGTTTTTTTACTTTGTCTTCACACCTTAAGCATCAGAAAAAAAAAACATTTGAAAGCATTGAGCCAATGCTTTCCTATGAAGGCGGTATAAAGCACGCACGACACTTGCCTCACATGCGCATTAGGTCCTCCTCTCATATGACGTTGGAGGACGCAAAGTGCTGAGGGACATCAGTGCCGGAATCGGGTAAGTGTTCAAAGTTGTTTTTTTTTACCTTTTATGTGCCGAAGGGGAAGTTGCGAGGGAGAGGGGGACCCTCTACAGTTCTTCTTTAACCCCTTAAGGACATGTGGCATGTCATGATTCCCTTTTATTCCAGAAGTTTGGTCCTTAAGGGGTTAATGCATATGGGATTCTGTGATGATTCTACATGTTACTGTGGAGCCTGGGTTTGGTCCCTTCCACAAGTGATAACCAGCCTGCATTTTTAATTATAAATTTACAGTAACAGCACTCAAGGAAGCTCAGCCACAGTCTGTTTAAATAATAAAAAATGTGTGACCTATACAGCCTATTTTTTCAGATTTTTTTAATTTATGTACATTTTTGAAAACTATGCACGTAAAAAATATTCCAGTACTTTTCTTGATGAGAATCCCTTTCTTGGTATGAATTTGAGTGAGTTTTTATCCAGGCATAATACTTCATAAAACATTGTTCATCACAGTATAGGGGTATGATACAATGTATCCTGGTTACAGATTTTCAACATTTATAAACCTGGTGTTTTTCTGCTTTTAACTAGTTTTTGATCCTGCCACTTGGAACTGCTCACGTTTTTTCTGTTAACACTTAGCAGGAAAAAACAGTTTTCAACAGTGTATCCCGAATGCAGGGGAAAGTCTTTGAAGGTAAAATACAGTTAACTCTCAGTCACTCTTACCAAATCGGTCAGGAATTCGTTTTGCAGATCAATACTATTAGTGGGGGTTAACATGGTTTTTGAGTAATGGCCCAAGTTCAACTATTTTACTTGCTTTCTATTAAACAGTAAGTGAAAATTCAGACCTGGGTATGCATTAAGTGGAATTCACTAAAATTAAATAAAGACTGGGGCAGTATAGCCCTCATTTGTTAAAGGGACACTGTGCTGGAGCTAACCTTTTTAGTGCATTATATAGAAAATGCATTAAACAATATACAAAAAACACACATTTGACGTTCCGGCATTTGCTATATATCTTCCAAGTTTGTCGCTTCCTGCAGTGATCTCTTCCCAGATTATGAAGCAGTTAACACCTGTCAGTCACAGTCTACACCCTAGCTAATAGCAACGCTTACCCTGTCATATTGCGGGTAGTTACTGGTGATACTTAACAGCCTTCTGGTGCTGGGGCTAGAGACATCCTCAGGTACACAGCTATAATGCATGTGCCCTGAGGTGAGGAGAGTTCTTCATAATAATGTGTGCACCTAGTGTCCCAGCACACATAATGATGCTGGTGGCATTAGTCCTCATTCTCATTGTGTGGTCTTTTCCATCTCCCTCTTAAGGAAAAACAGGCACCCTTGGCCATAAATAGTAGACCCCTACAAACACCTATTACTCACGAAACTGTTCCTATTTATATATGACAGTAGATGTACTAATACTATTTTTTTTAAATCTCAAGGTTGACTGGATAGAGTCAGATAGTTGTGTGGAGTGACTCTTGTTGAGATGGTTGCCTTGCCTCTTTCTGTCCTCTTGTTGCTAATTTATCTACCACTGAGATACCAGAGTAATATTCCGATTTGAAGGCTGTGTTTGACAAGAAAGAGAGAGGCAAATTGCTTCCTCATCACCTATATGATTGTGCCATAGAACGTCTTCCAGGCACCATTCCTCCTAAAGGAATAGTATTCCCTTTGTCAGTGAGAGTCTGGTTATGGAGGGATACATTGAAGCTGCTCTAGCTAAGGTTTTATAAGGTCTCTTCCCCCACCTCACACAAAGAACTTAAGATCCTGCATTGAGTATATAGGTTTAAATCAATTTATGTTCCGTAATACACATCTTCTTACCCTGATTTCAGAGCGTTTTTACCAAAATGCATTTCAAGGGGCTTACGATTTGATAAGGATCAAACCTGGTGATGAGTGGAAGACAGCCTTTAACACCAGAAGTGGGCATTATGAATATACAGAAATGACCTTTGACATATGCAATGCCCTAGCTGTCTTCCGAGAAGTCATCAGTGATGTTTTAAGAGATGTAATTCATGATTCTGTGATAGTGTACTTGGATGACATTTTGGTGCATGCTTCTGACTTGCAGACCATCAAAAGCATCTATGGCTAGTGTTACAACGACTGTTAGACAATGATTTGTTTTGCAAATTGGAAAAAGGAGGTGATTCAGCATTTCCCTTAGGTCTCAAGGCTATTTAATGCTTCTCTAATTACTATAGGAGGTTTGTAATGGATTTTCAACTCTAATTTCTCCTATTACCTCTATGACCAAAGAGGAGCAAATCCTGATAAATTGACTTATGAGGCCTCTACACTGTAAGCTCATTTGAGCAGGGTCCTCATCAACATGCTAAAAGGAGTAAGTACTATCTTATCTCAAAGACAATCCCATGATCTCCCTCCAGGGCCGGACTGGGAAAAAAATTAGGCCCGGGCATTTTTCAATCAGAGCGGCCCCCTAAGAAGGGGGCGGGGCCAGAGAGTGTGTGTTTTGTCATCACTAATGACAACACGCCCCCTCTCGAAGTGAGCATGTTGGTTCAATGCCCAGAGCCCTGCTGAAGAGCTCTGGCATTAGAAAAAGGCCCTGAATTTGTTCTGCGCAGCGCAAGCAAATGTGATAACATGCTTGTGCTGTGTTTGCTTTTAAATTGTCTCTGGTGTCTCCACAAGTGGGATACCAGAGGACAAATGGGCCAGGAAAGTGCATGGTGCATATGTTTGGAGACGGCTTGTGGGATTGCATGTGTGTAGAGTGTGGTGTGGTATTGTGTAAATAGGTAAATTTAATTTGTGTTTGTGGTGTAATATGTGTGGCTAGGGGCTGTAGAGAGTGTGTGTATAGGGGGCATAGTTTTATAGGGGATGCAGCGAGTGTGTGCATACGGGCTGAAGTGTGTGTGTATAGGTGACGTAGTGTGTGTAGGGGTTGCAGAGAGGGTGTGTTTAGAGAATGTTGTATGTGTTTGCTGACAAGGAATGTAGTGTGTGTGTGTAGGAGATCTACTGTGTAAAGGACCCAGTGTGTGTGTGTGTGTATAGAGGATAAAGAGTGCATATAGAGTAAGGGATCTAGTGTGTATCTGGAGCGTAATGTGTGTAGTGGTGCAGTGTGAGGGGTGCTGTAGTGTGTGTGTATGTGTGTGTATGTATATATATATATATATATATTTGGACTTATTGTATGTGTGAGGGGCGCAGTGTGTGTATGTAAGAGGGGTGCTGTGTGTGAGGGTGTTTTTATCTGCTGTCACATTCTAGGTTTCTAATTTTCTTTGTCTGTTAACTCACTGAGGGTTATTTTATATATATATATGTGTGTGCTGTATATGTGTGGGAGTGTGCTGTGTGTGTCATGGTACTGTGTGTGTCTGGGGGATGCTGTGTCTGGGGGGTGCTGTGTCTGGGGGGTGCTGTGTGTGTCTGGGTGCGCTGTGTGTGTCTGGGTGCGCTGTGTGAGTCTGGGTGCGCTGTGTGAGTCTGTGCTGTGTGTGCTGTGTGTGTCTGGGTGCTGTGTGTCTGTATCTGGGGTGTTGTGTGTGTCTGGGGGTGCTGTGTGTGTCTGGGTGCAGTGTGTGTCTGTGGGTGCAGTGTGTCTGGGTGCTGTGTGAGTCTGGGTCTGTGTGTGGGTGCTGTGTGTGTCTGGGTGCTGTGTGTGTGTTTGGGTGCTGTGTGTGTCTGGGTGCTGTGTGTGTGTCTGGGTGCTGTGTGTGTGTCTGGGTGCAGTGTGTGTCTGGGGGTGCTGTGTGTGTCTGGGGGTGCTGTGTGTGTCTGGGGTGCTGTGTGTGTCTGGGGGTGCTGTGTGTGGGGGGTGCTGTGTCTGGGGGTGCTGTGTCTGAGGGGTGCTGTGTGTGTCTGGGGGCTGTGTCTGGGGGTGCTGTGTGTGGGGGCTGTGTCTGGGGGTGCTGTGTCTGGGGGCTGTGTCTGGGGGGTGCTGTGTCTGGGGGGGGCTGTGTCTGGGGGGGGCTGTGTCTGGGGGCTGTGTCTGGGGGCTGTGTGGGGTGCTGTGTGTGTGAGTGAATGTATTTTTTTTATAAAAAAATTTAAAAAAATATTTCCCACCCTCCCTTCTTACCTTTATCCTGGGAGGGGGGGGGGGAGGAGATCCGTTCTGCCATGGAGGGAGGGGAGCCGTTCTGCCATGGAGGGAGGGGAGCCGTTCTGCCATCCTTCCCTGGTGGCCCAGTGGTGAGAGTGAACTCTAACCTGCAGGTGAGAGTTCACTCTCGCGAGATCTAAATCCCGCGAGAGGACCTGGCGGAGCTGCTTGTTAGAGCTCCGCCGGGTCCTCTCTACTCCCTCCCTCACCCAGCCAGCGGCCGCATTTCCATGCCTCTGGGCCAGTGAGGGAGATCTTTGATCTCCCCACCGGCCCATGGAGGCACACAGCAGGGCCGGCGCTCGGGTAGCGCTGGCCCTGCACGGGCTGGCAGGGGAGATTCTGTGATCTCCCCTGCCGGCCTCGGCCCCACGGCCATCGCGGCCCACCGGGCATTTGCCCGGTGTGCCCGATGGCCAGCCCGGGCCTGTCTCCCTCTACATCACTGGCGGATCCAGGGGGGGCAAGGTGAAAATAATAGTGCCTTGCTCTTTCTTGCCTGTCCTGCTGGGTGCCTTCGAGGACCGGAGGGGAGATCAGAGATCTCCCATACTGGCCCACTGGCACTGAAAAGAAGCAGCCAGCAGGGGAGGGAGAGAGGACCCAGGGGAGCTCTAACCTGCAGCTTCGCCGGGTTCTCCTCTTAAGAGCCCGGAGCATTGCAGCGGTTACCATGGCAATGCTCAGGTTTCCGCAAGAGTGAACTCTAGCCACAGGAGCTGCAGGCTAGAGTTCATTCCCCACTAGGATCACCAGGTATTCTTCACCGGACCACCAGGGATTCACAATCCCCTTTCCCTGGGCAAGGTAAGAAGGGAGGGGATATAAAAATTATTTATTTTAGTTAAAAAAAAATATATATGTATATATATATTTATATTTATCTGCCCTCTTCCCCCCACCAACCCCCAATAACTTCACACACACACACACTGCCCCCAATACACACACACACTGCTTCCCAATACACACACACACACACCACTACTCCAATACATACACACTGCCCATATACACACACATACACACTGCACCCCTCACACCCACACTGCCCCATACACACAATGCACCCCTATACGCACACATACACTGCTCCCCTAACACAAACACACACACTGCACACCTCACACACACACTACTGCCCCTAATTCCCTGGGAGGCCCCATGGCATTCCTGGCACCATAACCACTACAGTGAGCTTTAAATAAACTACCACTGCCCCTCCCGAGATTAGGTTTTGGATCCGCCCCTGCTCTATATTAATTCAGTTATTTTTCTAAAAAGTTAACCAATACTGAGAGAAGAAACAGTAATGGTGACAGTAAGTTGTTAGCCATTATTCTGGTCTTCAAGGAATGGGACACTTGCTAGATCACTCCGCTTCCCTTGTGATGGTTCTTACTGGGGAGTACGAACGGTTTTCTTCTAGAAAGGCTTGACTGCCCTTGTTTCTTTTGTAGTTAAATATTATTGTTATGTATAGACCTGGTTCTAAGAACACCAAGGCTGGAGCCGCTTTCAGATAACATAAACCTTCAGAAACTGAAGAGCCAAAGCCTGCTCCTACAGTCACGAAAAATAAGATCATTGCCACTACTACCATGTTGCTTACCTCAAAACTACTTGAACATATTCAGACTGCTCAATGGGAAACCCCTTCTACCACCTCAAAAGAGGCAACTTCTTCTCTATCAGTTGCATTCGTATATGCAATTATGTCGTCTCTCAACTATTTTGGTGGCCTTTCTTGTCTAATGGTGTCAAGCCAAATCACAAGTGGGTGATAGAGTTTAGCTGAGTACCCATACCATCAGGCTCCAGGTTCCCTCCATGAGGCTGTCACCTTTTTACGTTGACCCTTATAGGATACTCCAATGCCAAAAAGTGGTTCTACCTCCTGCTCTAGCAATACCTAACTGTTTTCATGTTTCCCTTTTGAAACCATTTACATGCAATTGGTACACTAGAAGGGTTACTCTTCGTTGCCTTGTTATTGTTGTTAGGTGGAAATGGGGTTCGGGCTCTTGTTGATTCAAAGGCATCTAGAGGAAAGATCCTGTACCTGGTTCACTGAAAGGTTTACAGTCTGGAGGAACGCTCATGGGTTGACACGTTGATATCCTTGCATTCAGGTTGGGTTGATGCCTGCTTTCCATGACAAGGTCACCCAGGTCCACAATCCGTGGAGGCGTTTTTTATGATAGGAATGAATTTAAGGTTACCTATGGCTCTTTGTTCCTCTTCATGTCTTATATGTGTCAATTAAAACACTAAGCATAGTTTAAGTCCTAAACTGTACAATATTCGCGTAAATATTGATGCTGAACGCGCTCTAAGCTCCAACCTGCATCACACTGCTGCAGATGTAACCAGCCTGACTATTGGCACCAGGCCTAAATAAACTCTGTCTTTGTCCTGTTTTGGTTTAATTCCTAATTCCCAATAGCACATTTGCTCAGTTTGTTTCTTTTGTATACTGACTGGGCTTGTTTAACTATCATGATCTCTGTACTCCTAGACTCTGCTCTTTATTACATTCTTGTGTATTTGTAGATTCTGTGACCTTGGTTCGTTTCTCAACTCTGCTATATTCACCAACTACAGACGCTATATTAAGCCCAGTCTTTCTAAGGACCAGTAATACACCACTATCTCTTTTTATACTATTAGGGTATCATAGGTTTGATATGGTGGGTTATCGTCTTTACCTTGTCCTGATCTCTCTCTATCATATTAAGTTAAGAATGAACAGCAGAGATGTGGAAACAAGGCATACAATATTTATATCTGTGAAGTGTGAAAAAACAAAGGTTTTTGTTTTGACTGGCTAAGTAACAGAAGAAATGTAGTTCACATATATATGGGGAAAGCATAGCTTTATCCATCAGAAGCCTGTGTCACTGTTATACTGAAATTTGTGGAAGATCCCTTGAGACAGCAGGATATTCTACTGACTACTTGTACAATACATGAGAAAGTGCATGATTCCAGAGCCATAGCTAGTGACAGCTGCTGGGATTTCAAGAAACGACAAATTCATACTTAAAATACATAAATACATACAATAAAACAAACCAGACCATACTTTGTCTTATGACACCTTTTGATTTCAATAAAATTCCAATGCAGAAAGATTTTATCATGATGTGAAAGGGCAGCTGGTGGATGTGTTCCTGAAGGGCAATATAAACAAAAGCCACCTGCAAAGAACTTTGTCTATTTTATTAAAGGGTTACTGCATGCACCATGAAAACTTCAGTGATTGAAAATGGTAGTGTGTGTACGCAGCATTGTGCTTTGAAATGCTGCACATTCGGAGTGTAACTCCTTTTCTGCTGGAGTGGAACTCCACCTCGGGCAGTGTCATAAGGGCGTCATTAGTCAGTCCATAGGCGTGCGCAGCCTATTGCATTAGGGTGTGCACCCTAAAGCACAAACACACACGCGGCGTATATATATATGTGTGTGTGTATATATATATATATATATATATATATATATACATACACATACACACACACATATATACAAACACTGCTGTGTGTGTGTGTGAGGGTGCTGTTAGTGTGTGTGTGTGTGTGTGTGCGCTGTCATGCCTGATCCCTGGTGGTCCTAGTGTGAGTGAACTCTAGCCTGCAGGCTAGAGTCCACTCTCACGAGATCTGACCTCGCGAGAGGAACCCAGCGGAACTGCTGGCTAGAGGAGTTGCAGGGGGTGGCATCGTGTGTATGCACATCGGTGTTGTGCACATGTGTGTATTGGTGTGGTAATTATAGGGGGTGTAGTGTGTGTTTAGGGGAGTTGTGTGTGCATAGGGGTACAGTGGGTGCACAGGAGGTGTATATCGGCATAGTATGAATGCAGTGGTAGGGTGTTTATAGGGGTATAGAGTGTGTAGTGCTTTTGTATGTGTGTATGCAGGAGGTGTAATACGTGTGTTTATAGGGAGTATAGAGTGTGTGTAGTGATTGAGTGCAGTGTATAGGGGGTATAGAGTGTGTATATAGTATGTAGTGTGTATATAGTGTGTGTAGGTGCAGGTGGTGTAGTATGTATGTATAGGGGGTATAGTGTGTAGGTCCAGGGGGTGTAGTGTGTATGTATAGGGGGTATAGTGTGTAGGTGCAGGGAGTGTTGTGTGTGTATATAGGGGTTGTATATAAGGTGTATAGTGTGTGTAGTGTGTAGGTGCAGGGTGTATATAGGGTGTAGTGTGTATGTATAGGGGGCATAGTGTGTAGGTGCAGGGGGTGTATATAGGGTGTATAGTGTGTGTAGTGTGTAGGTGCAGTGTGTATATAGGGTGTAGTGTGTAGGTGCAGTGTGTATATAGGGCGCAGTGTGTATGTATAGGGGACATAGTGTGTAGGTGCAGGGGGTGTATATAGGGTGTATAGTGTGTGTAGTGTGTAGGTGCAGTGTGTATATAGTGTGTAGTGTGTAGGTGCAGTGTGTATATAGGGCGCAGTGTGTATGTATAGGGGACATAGTGTGTAGGTGCAGGGGGTGTATATAGGGTGTATAGTGTGTGTAGTGTGTAGGTGCAGTGTGTATATAGGGTGTAGTGTGTAGGTGCAGTGTGTATATAGGGCGCAGTGTGTATGTATAGGGAGCATGGTGTGTAGGTGCAGGAGGTGTATATAAGGTGTATAGTGTGTGTAGTGTGTAGGTGCAGTGTGTATATTGTGTATGTGCAGTGTGTATATAGGGTGTAGTGTGTAGGTGCAGTGTGTATATAGGGTGTAGTGTGTAGGTGCAGTGTGTAGGTGCAGTTTGTATATAGGGTGTAGTGTGTAGGTGCAGTGTGTATATAGGGTGTAGTGTGTAGGTGCAATGTGTATATAGGGTGTATGTGGTGGGGTATAGTTTATTGTATATAAGGGCTGGATAGGGTTAAATAATACATTTTGATTGTTGCATTATTTAAATTAAAATAAAATAACCCTACACATTTACTCCCCTTGTTACCGTATTACTTTGCAGGGGGAGAGGGAGCACGCTGCTGATCATCCCTGGTGTTCCAGTGGGCTAGTGATGTGGTCTGTACCTCCGCAGGGTATAGATCATGCCTTCCTCTCGCGAGAGCTGGAGTTTAGGAGCCCACGGCAACGCTCTAAAATTATCGGAGATTGCGAGAGGGCTGCCCTGCGTGAAGCCTGGAGGCTGTTTGCTCCGTAACCAAACGGAACGGAGCTCTTCAGAGCCTCTCTTGGGGTCAATCTGGTAAGCTTGAGCCGGCAGGGGAGATTTTTTGATCTTCCCTGCCGGCCTCGGTCCATGTGCGGCGCGCAGGGATTAGGGTGTGCCCAGGCACACCCAGCACACCCCATGCGCACGCCTATGAGTAGGTCAGGAACAAGAATTCCAAGCTGGCTAATGTCAATTCTGTATATATTGCTACACTCATTATTGCATTCATTGGCTGATGGCAGTCAGCTGACAGTGTCTTTGATTGATGACACTGTTTGATGGGATTGACTTCAAACTTCTGATGCTCTGTAGAAGCCTGATGTCACTGAACTTAGGACCCTCAGCGCCCAGAGGGGACACAGGTACGAGGGCAAACTGTTGCAAAATGGTTTTCCCTATTACTAGGAAATGGGCCAGGGTGCTGCAGCGGGCTCTACTGGTTATGATGCTTGGATGAAAACCTTTTAGTAAAACGTTATGCTTGATTTCTGGGCTTCATGAAATATTAAATACTTGGTAATATAATATTTAAAGCACACTCTTCTCTTGTGTTCTAAATACTGAATTTAGTTTTTTGACATTATTCATTCACTCCCTGATCTCTCTCTTTTTATCCCATACTCTCTGCAGCCATTCACCCCCTCCTCCCATCAGCGTTTCATTCCCTCTTCCTGGCCAGGGGTCTGTGTCCTGTGATCATAAAAGCTGCCAACATTCCAAATAAAATGGAAACAGAACTATTGAAACTCGTGATTCCAGCATCACAAACAAAGAGACAGAGGTACAGCAATAGAATGATTGAGGGGAGGGGACAATGGATATATAGAGAGGAGGGAGAGGCAGGGAGGGAGAGAGAAGAGAAGAGACAGCTACAGTGAGAAGTGAGATACAAGGAAGAAACAGGAATACAGTGAGCAGCAGGAGAGACTGGGATAGATTGAACAAAAGTAATAACAGGAATAGAATTTGAGTAGGATGCAGGAATTCACAGAGAGAGGAGAAAATAAGAATAATGTGAGAGGGGAGGAGATTGCTGATATGAATTTACTAAACGTAGTTATCAAGACACATGGATACAGTGATAGAGAAGAGGGTCAGGACACATGAAAAGTAAAGGAAACACAGGGATACAGTAATGTAGCAAAAGTCAGGCCAGGTCACCCTTACCACTCTATTTGAGTCATTTGTGCAGAGCCTTCACTTCCAAAGAAGCACACACATATCTAGCCTCACATACACAATTAGCTACTGACAGATAACGTGCAACACACCAACCTAGTTATCAGGGCAAATACATACCTATACACACACACACACAGAAGTAGGGCTGATGCAAGGATTGTTAGCTACATCCCAACCCCTCCCCCCCCTTAAAAAAAATGCATCTTCACCTGTGTTTCTTGTAAACCCCCCTTTTGAATTTCTTACCCCTTTAGTGCTCTACTGATTTTATTACCCCTTTAGTGTGTCTTACAACCCCCTTTGTGTGTCTTTATTACCCAGCCCCTTTGTGTCTTTATTACCCAGCCCCTTTGTTTGTCTCTTTCTTACCCCAGCCCCTTTCTGTGTCTTATTTTTACCCCAGCCCCTTTCCGTGTCTCTTTCTTACCCCAGCCCCTTTCTTTGTCTCCTTCTCCACCACAGTCCCTCTGTGTGGCTCTTTTCCCCCTCAGTCCGTTTTGTGTGCCCCTTCCCTCCAGATCCCTTTGTGTGTCTTTCCTCTCAAGCCACAGGCCCACAGGCATCATTTTCAGGCACACTGTCATAAAAGGCACACAATCAAAGTCATACAGGTACACTGTCATACAAACACAGACATAATCATACAGAGACATACAGGCAGAGACATATAGAAATACAGACAGAGACATACGGACACAGTCACACCGAGACATACAGACAGAGACATACACACATACGAGACATGCAGGCATACAGAGACATACATACATGCATGCATACAGAGACATACATACACACAGAGACAGTCACAATTACATACTTACAACTGTTCAACCTGGTTCCTGGGGTGCATGTTGTCCAGCTCTGTAGAGTCCTGTCTTGCAACCCAGCCTCATCACTGGGCACAAGCCGCACAGGGAGCAAGGATATGATGTAATTCATATCCCCACCCCCTCCACACAGCCTGCGGTAGACACCAGGGTAAGAGGCTGGGCGGGCAGTAGGAGGCTGGGCTGGGCGGGCGGAAAGCTCTGGGCTCCTGCCAGTCAGCCTGACATTGCGCCCCCAGGATCGGTGCACAGAGGCATATTAGTATGTGTACAGAAAGTAACACTAGCGTGCAGACACACAAACACACACAAGCACACATGCATAGATATTCTCCAGCATGCAAACACAGACACAATAACAGACAGAGCCACTAGCCCCCCCAAACCCACATATCATGAAAAAACACCATGTAAAGGGAAGCTAAAAAAATAAATCTAGCATTATATTTTGTTTCCTCATCCTCCATGTCCCATAAAATGTGAATAAAGAGGAATTGAAAGTTCCTGAGGTTTCTTAGGAACAGAGTCCTGCCAGTCATGCAAAGCCCCTCCTCTCTATATGAAACCACTAAAAGGAGAACTCCATCAGCTAGTGCACATGAAATCGCAAATCATCTTATACAATGCTTTCCCAATAATGCCAATGATAGGGTTAGCTCTAATGCAGTGTTTCACAAACCAGTCCTCAAGACCCACCAACAGTCCAGGTTTTGTTAGTATCTCCATTGGAATAAAACAGGGAAATACATAAATCCTGGACTGTTGGTGGGCCATAAGGACTGGTTTGGGAACCACTGCTCTAATGAATCTGTTATCAGCTTTAAATCATACATATATATTTACATGTTGATGATGTGCCAGTGGAATGCTTGTCACCATATAGCAAGCCTAACACAGGCACACCACACCTTTTTACAAGCATAACACAGGGGACATTACACCGAAAATAGGCTGTACTCACCTTAACATGCATAAATAGGGTGCTACTCAGAGCCAATTTATACAATAAAAAAGAGAAAATCCAGCGCTCTCCCTTAACCACTAAACAGCAACTTCGGTGCTGACAGATTTTTTTTTGTTTTTTTAAAAACACCTAAAACCAAAAAATTTTTTGTCTGAAACCTAAGTTTCATAACACTAGGGAACCCTTTTATGTACTAATTTACAGTATCACATTTAGAAAATTTTTGGAACATTGTACCTATTGTTTACTTTATATATTGTCTATCACTATTATTTTATTGTTACTGGAGTTTATTCTAAGTATTTTATGCTTATTATTGGAGTGCTCACACACCTATACCTTTCATCCTTAACCAAACCCTAATCCCAAATCTAACCCTAA